CCATTGCTCCAATTTATTTCTTCACCACTAAATTACCAGATACATGCAATGGCAGCATATTCTCCCTTGGGATGCTGATTGCAGAAACTGGTGGTGTTCTTTTGTTCTCTAAATCACAGTGAGTATAAACAGGATAAATAACAAGTCTGGCGTCTTTCAAGTCCAGAATATAAAGTGAAACAAAAGTGAACGATTCTTTCAGAAAAATAACTGTCAAGTGGGAATCTGGTATAATTTCCAGTGGAAGTGGCTTGTAAAGTGGAATGGACAGATTACTGGAATGTCTTCAGATCTTCAAATATTTTTCCTTGGTAAATTCCACAGGCAAAGCAAATTTGCTGCTATGTAGCTGAGGAAACAGTGTGACATTACCTCACACCTGGCTTAAGAAAAGCCTTGTTACTGCTGAGCAGATCTTCCAGGAGTGGTTCTCATGGAAAGTAGGCTAACATGTTGCTAGCTGACAGGAGGACAAAGATATGAAACCAGGAAACCTCTCCAAGAGCAGTCCAGTAACTCCTGAGAGCAAGGAAGTCAGGATGTCAAATTTAGCTTGGTTAATATTTCAGGCTGAGCCAGTCAAAATTAATATCAGGAGAGCAAATCCTTCAATACAAAGGAAGAATAAAAATGGCTCACTATGTTTAATACTGTTGTGCAGTTGCTGATGACCTCATTTACTGTACTGTACAGTAAATTAGTTTAATTTCAGTCAATTAAAATTACAGTCTAATTTCACAGCTCTGTTAAGACCATTCTGTGCTGTTCTCTTGCAGCCAGTCTTGTACGTGCTGCCCCTGTGGTCATGGTTTAACGCTTTCCTGTTCCTCCCCAGACTGTGGCCGCCGCCCCGCTGCTCGCATGAACAAGAGGATCCTCGGGGGCAGGACCAGCCGCCCAGGCCGGTGGCCATGGCAGTGCTCCCTGCAGAGTGAGCCCAGTGGACACATATGTGGCTGTGTTCTGATTGCAAAGAGATGGGTCCTGACAGTAGCACACTGCTTTGAAGGGTGAGAGAGCTCAAGATGGTTTTACTGCTCATATGAACTTGCACATGTGAATTACCAAGTCCTTCCTCCACTACCAAACACACAGAGGGGAGGTGATGATCTCTGCAGAATGGCCGGTCATAGAGGCCTGCTTTTAAGAGACTAAAAAGGGGAAAGTAAAAGGTACAAACTAGCATCAGCTTAGGTTTTCAGATGTTTTATTATTCATTGCTGGTGTCCCTACTGATGAAAGCTCAATGAAGATGCCCTGACTTTCAGCAGGAAACAGGAAAACAGGAAGACCAAAATACTAATCCTATAGCTTTCCTACAACTGCCATGGATTTAAAAAAATCATTCTGTGCATGACTGTACAAAAGACCCTGGAAAAATGCTATGGCCATTGGTAAAAATGAAAACTGAGTATTTGCTCACAGTGCAAATGACATACTGAAGTCACTGCCTTTTCTATTTATACAGTTCACCCTTTTATTAGGATCGTAATCATTAAGAAGTCAGTATTAACCACTACTTGATGCCTCCTGGTATCTGAGGCCCTGTGGTGTATGAACAGTCAGGTGTGCAAGGGATGTTTACGTGTCTTGGAATTGTTTTGATCATGTCAGCTTTTTGGTGCTAACCGATATTTCTTTTTGATGAACCACATATTTTGGAGGGAATTTTATTACCTTGTATCTTGTCTTGTGCTAAAGTTTTTAAATTGAGTTTCTAAAGAAAATTTAAACAAGTGTTTTCTGCTGTAGTTAGCAAGTGCTTTTATGGTTGCTTAATCTTGCTTTAAACTGATGTTTGCTCATTGGAAATTATTTTAAACTACTCTAAACGCCTTTCTTTTGTTCAAGCCCATCGAAATCCTCTGTTAAGCAAAATTCTCTTGACTGATATTTCTTTATAATGTTAGTCATTCACTTTTTGAGTAATAATTTAAATTTTGCCTTTTTATTTCTGAAAGACTGAGTTATTTGGTATTTGTTGGGGTTTGTGACTTTTGTGTCCAAGCCAGAAGACATCAGGCGTATCTCAAGACGTCTGTGAGTATCTCAAGGTGTGAGATATACCATATTAATGAAAATACCATTGGATAGACCTCAGTTCTGACTAACACATCATATCAAGCTCTAAGGATGTTCAAGAACTGATTGCATTCAAAAAGAAGAAAAGTAATAATCAGAAATTTGAACATAGATGACCTTCCTCCTAAACAGTGTGCTAAATGTGTATAATACAAACAAGAACATAGTATTTTATCAGGTTTTGGGTCCAGAAGGAATTTCTCTTCTTTCTCCATCTATTTTTAAATATACTGCTGGAATATTTCCTAACCTTTGGAAGAACATTTTCTGGTGATCTAAAATAAAGAGTGGGACAGAGATCGATCCTTCCACAATATTGGACTGATACTGAATCTCCTGAATAAGAGATTTCTCCCATTAGTGAAAGATAGGAAAAGCAGCTGTCAAATTACAAAGTAAAAATTCTCCCAGTTTTGTCAGTTGTAGAAAGACTGCCATTACATTATGGAGCTGTGCATTTACCCCTCACGTAGGGCTATATAGTTTCTATGGAGCTCAGAGTATCACTTGTAACAGGTTTCTTTCACATTTGTGTTCTAAAGACCTTAAAGTACTAACATTCCAGTTTAATAATTCATTGTGCAGTTACGAACTTTTTTCTCTTCTGCCTTTCTGAATAGATTTGAGGAGTCTGAAATCTTCAGAGTCTTCATTTGTAACAAGCCATTTGTAAGCATAATGTATCAACAGCAAGATCATTCTTGAAGTCACAAAGTTTTCTTGATAAAAAGTATTTAAAAATTTCCCAAACCAACCAGATAAAACAATTTCAAGAGACTTTAAAGTGCTCTGGTGCCTTATACAAAATGCTCCATTTTGCAAAGTATTTTATGAAGTTAATATGAAGTTCGGAATACAAAACATGAGGAATACATAACAGTAATGTAGTATTAATACAAATAGTCATGGGAAGAGCTGCATTAAACATCATGGTCTTTGCTAGTTTCATTATTATAGTCTCCAGAGTTTTGTCAAGATTGTTTTGAAATGCATTATATTAAAGCATCCAAGACAGTAAGGTTTTTTCTTAATTGTAGGACAATACATTTTGGCTGTGACTGCTTATTGCTCTAGGCAGTGCTTTTCTCAATGGTCATAAAAACAAGAGCCTATGAATATTCTTAGCACTTAATTTCTGTAACTTTATGGAAAAACTCGCAAACTGATCATGATGGTAAAACGATCATTATAGTCTGAAATATCAGAATTTTCATCCAACTCTTAAGATAAAAATAGCCTTTATTTAGCAACCAAATCTCTTGGCAAATTACAGGAATTACAATCCTGTTGAGTACTGTGAAAAAGCTGAAATTTTGCACGTTTTGATTTACACTGCTTTGAATCCTTTGTCAAAGGTTCTCAGTTGTATGGAGCTGTCTTTCAGCAGTTGTGAGAACTGCTGACTTTTTTGAGGGCTTTTCGAATCACAGACTAATCAGGAACCCATGAAGACTAATTAGGAACCTGCAACTTGTTCTGTGACCAGTTATGATCAAAAGAAGCCTTTCATAAAATCTATGTTTTTCACTTGTGTCTCAACTGACACTAGTTCAGTCTTCCCAACTTGTATCATATGTATCACTGCTTTGTGGTCTTGTACATTTACCAGAAGAGTCTTAAACAAATGTAAGAGTCAAAGTAACCTTTGATCTTAGGCATAGAAAGTATGCTTGGCACAGATTGACTGCCCAATAAATAAAGGATTTTTCCCATGGCCATCATAAAATATTTAATTTACATAATAGCGTTGCTTCTCTGAGACTCCATAGGGATTTCAGCTAGACTTACTGCTGTCAGCAGCAGACTACTGAACAATATTCTTATCCCAGTAAAATTTGAATGTGCCCACCAGTGAGCATGCGAGCAACTAATACTTGGGCAGAGTCCAAGAGATGATTTTGAGAGCCTTTAATACAGCAACTAAGAGATGGTTACATATCTTCTAACAGAGTGAGTTTCAATGCATTTGGTTACAGACAGGAAGGAAATGGAAAGCAGTGTCTTTTGTTGCTCAGATCTTACCTGTAAGGAATGATGCCTAAGTATTTCTTTTTTCTTGTAGTATTTGTATGTGCATTGCTTTGCAAAGTACAGTGTGCAAAAAGGGAGAAAAAATTCTCGGGTGTTTTATCTTAAAAGAAAGATCTTGATGAAATTTCACATTTTTTCTTCTTTTTTCTTTTTTTTACTAAGGAGAGAAAATGCAGCTGTTTGGAAAGTAGTGTTTGGAATTAGCAATCTTGATCATCCATCAGGCTTCATGCAGACCCGACTAGTGAAGACCATCATCCTCCATCCACGGTACAACAGAGCAGTCGTAGACTATGATATCAGCATCGTGGAGCTTGACAAGGATATCAATGAGACAAGCTATGTAAGACCTGTCTGTTTGCCCAGCAAGGACCAGTTGGTTCAGCCAGACACCTACTGCTACATCACAGGCTGGGGACACATGGGCAACAAAAGTAAGATGAGTATTTCTGGGACTTTGGGAAAGACATGTGAACCTTCTACTGAGTTACTCAAACGAGTGATCCTGTTACAAACCTTCATCCATTTATACTATTACTGGGTCTTAGTAAATACCAGGGAACTGGAACTACTCTCGAAGAGATCAAGTTGTGATTAGAGCCTAGCTTTTCCAAAGCAGCAGTCTCAGTTTATGCTTCTTAATCCTTATTTAGACAAGTGTTTGATTTTTAAAAATGCTGAGGACCTAGAAACTCCTGTCAAGAAAGTCACCTGAATTACTTATCATTTTACTGGTCTAAGTTGTATTCAGAACTATATTGCAAAGGTATCGCATCATCATTGCAGGTGGAAACATTCCTAGCTCAGTGAAAGCTGAAGGCACTGAAAGCATTGGTACACAGGCTGAAGGAATAGGGTCTTGAATCAACACACTGGATCACACTTTGTACTTGTGACACAATTTATTCCATAATCACAGCTGTTGGTTTTGTATTTGAACAGAATGTTAGTGTGTTTTCTTGTTCTTTGGCTACTGCAATCCTTGCGTCCCATGACAAGAACTGTTATGTAAATCTTTGTTCAGGAAAAATGATTCTGCATGAATCATATGCAAATTAGCCTGCCCCAACCCTGTTAATGTACTAGCCATTGTGTTTCTCCCTTTGCTATTATTATAGTAATTACTAGGGATGGCTTTTCTGTACACGGGAGAAGGAAATTTTCCTTTCCATTTTGCTTCAGGTGGGACTTCAGCTGCAGTGGCTGGGTCAAATGGGGTAAAAATTAAACTGCACACATGAGGAGTGTGTGCAGGCTTTTACTAGCAGATTTATCCATCTAAAAATATCTCTATGTAATGTCAGGAAAAAAAGCCCAAAAAAACTCTTTCACAGCACTGGTAAATGGAAAAAGGTTCTTGTTCTCTAATGTGGTCAGTGTTGCTTTTAAAGGTTTTATGTTAGGAAGCATCAAAAACCATTTATTACTGCACCACCTAGATTGAACAACTTGATTAGAATTCGAGCTCACTCAGTTGTCCAGTCTACAAAAAAGTCCTTTATTGTCTCCTGAAAGTGATACAATCATTTCAATAAGCTTTGAATTCTGATTCCCTGATACATTCTGTAAGTCAAATTTACCCAAACAACTCAAAACGGCTTTGATTATACCAGGCTTTACCATGAGAAACAAAAGAAACAGGGAGATCCTGCCATGGAACAGTGAATCAAACTTCACCTTCCTCATATGACTGTTTTCCAACCACTGCTGCCCCTGTCTTAGAAATCCCACACCATATCATGTCAAGGTGCGAATGTTCAATAAACAGCATCACACTAGTGCTCAGTCCTTCTCCAGAATGCAACACATAATGCTCCTGGCTCAGGAGCATGACAGTCACAAATCCTGCAATGCAATAGTGCAAAAACACACTTGCTTTCACCTTGGCTTTGTGCTAAAGGGAGATTCTTCACTCCTTACATTTAATATACATAGAGCAATATTAAAAATTCATCCCAATGAAAATGTTTCTCATATCTCAAACAGCCATCATAGCTAAGTATTTGTGTGTTTGCATATAGTTTAATGCTTAATTCTGTTTATCAGTGCCTTTCAAGCTTCAAGAAGGAGAGGTTCGCATCATTTCCTTAGAACAATGCCAGTCATACTTTGACATGAAAATCATCACCAGCAGGATGCTGTGTGCTGGCTATGAATCTGGCACTGTGGACTCTTGCATGGTAGGCTTCTCTCTATGGAAACAGTCAAAATTGCTTTTAGAAATCAAAGTAGTGTGATGTTTATTAGGTATAGCATACTTTATTATAGGAATGACAACCATCTATTTACACATTTTAAACAAACTTTTATTATTATTACTATTATTGTTACTACTGATGTAAACAATTTCATGATAATTAAATGCTGCTTGAAGACTCTAGGGTTAATCTATATTAGTTAACTTTTTAATTTGTATGAGCCTTTTGCAGGTAATTTTTGGTACAAATGTAATAAATACTGGTAATGCTGTGTGCTGCTACATTGTTCAGCAGAGCAGCTGGTTTTTACAGCTGAGTTATTTACTAAAGGCAAATGGCTGTAGGAACTGTGACGTAGCTTTAACCATGACTGCTAGCCACATGTATAAGAGACTGATTTTCCCTCTTCTGTTGCAGGGTGACAGTGGAGGACCACTTGTGTGCGAGCAACCTGCAGGGCGCTGGACTTTGTTTGGTTTAACATCCTGGGGCTCTGTCTGCTTTTCCAAGGTTTTGGGACCTGGAGTTTACAGTAACGTGTCACATTTTATTGAGTGGATTGAAAGACAAATATACATCCACACCTTTCTGCTAAATTAACTCCAGATGGTAAGAATTGTGCTGACAGACAAAAGAAAAAAGGAGTCAGCACTTCAACACTAAAGGTTTTGCAGTCCAGAAACTCTATAAAGTAGTTTCAAGCTCTATCTGTTCTTGTTGTGGAGCTATAGAACAAGCAGTTTATGTTAATGATGAACCCTCTGATGATGAATATACTTTGGGGTAGAATTAATAATCCTTTGGACTTTTCTTTTAACTGTGTTGTGGTGCTATTCCAAACACAGCAAAAGGCTTAAAAGGAAAGAATCAGCCACTTTCTGCCTTTCAGCTATTAAAACTAAGTAGCAGCACAGGCTAGGAAAACCTTTTTAAATAACCTATTTTAATACTATTCAATTAGTAGCACACGCATTTTCACTCACTTCTTGTCATGAGGAAGGAACTCTGTGCATTCAGGTGGCACTGCAGGACATATATTCACAAGGACAACACAAAGACATGGTCGCACCATACGTTGGAGGGTGTGGAAGAGATTGATGGGTTTGTACACCCATGTGGCACAGGACACATCAAAGCTCATATGCAGGTCTGCAAAGGTGTGTAGCCACATGCTCCCAGTGTGCCTGTCTGGCACACTGCATTCTGTCCCTCAGAGTGGCAAACTTGCATGGGCATAACCCTGTACTGTCCTGACTTCACAGCTTCTGTTCCCAGAGCCAGCTTGGGCATCTCGGAGGAGTGATGGAGGAACCAGTAGGCCAAAAGACCCGTAACTACCACTTGAGGCACCCAAGACCAAAACTTTATTGTTCACACTCTTTAGACAGATTCTACCACTTTATTTTCTGCAGCTTCCAGTATCCTAACATGTCCAGGAAACATCCATGTCTTGGCAGCAGTACAGTGATCAGTGCATTTATCAAACCTGTGCCCCACTGGCTTTTCTCTTCATGTGTGTTCAGCACACAAAGCGTGCAGGGACCTTCTCCAGCCCTCTAAAAACATGAGAAGGTTGCCTATGCCACTGCAATGGTTTCCCCTTCTAAAGTCAGCTAGTTTGGACATCTGGTGAGAGATGGAATATGCAGATTTAAAATGGAAAAGATATAGTATGGGCACTGTCCATAATACTGGGAACTGAGTATTTTTTGATAGGTCTCTTCTAGTGCCTTGCATTTAAAGTTTAATTTTGACTAACAAGAGTAAAAATTTGGGAAAAGGTAAAAAGCAGAAAGAAACTTGAATAATAGGCAGCTTGAGATTCCAGCTTCTGTTCAAATGAGTATTAGAAATACGTGAAGCTAAGTACAACAGCTTTACCAGCAAAGGCTCAAAGAGCCTAGCTCTTGTGCTTGGTAGCCAGACATGGAGTGCTCTGTGCAGTAGTAAGAGACTAAGCCTTGACTCCAGGTTGAAAAAGATTATAATGGAGCTTGGCACCTCTTCATGGTGCAAGAGGGACAGTGTGTCTTATCAAATTCTGTAGGTGATGTCCAGCACAGCTCTCAGCTTTTGGGAGGCCAGAGAAGCAAGGAGAAGTCAGGAACCGAGGATTACAGGATAAATTCCACTGGGGAACAATGTGTTTAAAAACTGTTTTCAGTGCTGTGCCTAGTCCCCCACAAATCCAGCCTAAGGCACATAATTACCCTTTCTGCTACCTCTGGCATGCCCCCATAACAACATGGCAGGGCCTTGTCAATACCATGACTGCCATATGTGGAAACGTGCATTGAAAGACGTAACACATGGACATTTCAGGTACTAATAATCATGTTGCAACTTATCTACATAGATCTATTGCTTTAGTGAAGGTTTACCTCTTATCTCCATATCTTCTTTAGCATGACTGACATTAGAACATTAGTCATATTAGGCAGCGCTGTAGACATCAATATTAATACATATTCAAGATTTATGTTATGGATTCTGAAACTAATTGATTATTGAATCACTGTTTCATGCTCAGAAAGAAAACCCTCTGAGGCTTTGCTAGGTTTTGGTTTAGTTGTTTGGTTTTTTTTTTTATTTTTGGTATCTTAAGGATTTTTGGTTTTACTGTAACACTTTAATATTCTTCTTCCCCCAGCTATAAATGAGAGAAAGCAGCTGTGACCGTGTTTTTCCAGTGCAAGTAGATTACAGCTGAAGCAGATTATTGATATCTTTGCCTCATGGATATCGAGGGTGGAGCTCTCAGGCCTCACTTCAGCTTTCCTCTGGGGCCAGGATCTCTGCAGCTGTAGGGCAGCAAAGCTCAAAGTCCCGGAGCCGGAGCCAGTTACCAAGAGTTCCTTGAGAAGGCAGCCCCAGGGATTGCCAGAGCCAGCCAGCCCTGCTGTACCTCTGACATGCCTGGTAACATGTTTCAGCCAGGTCTGTTTTCCAAAGAGGTGCTGTTGCAGAATGAGCAGCCCAGCCTGACTTCTCTCCACCAGATGAAGTGGTTATCAGCTTTGAATATTGTAAAGCACTGGAGTACATATAATCATTCATGTAGATATTAGCATTACTAAATGATAACATGTAATTATACATTTTAATTAACTGGGTTTGGCCTGCCACCAGTTTCCAAGCAGTCCCTCCCAGGAAATGAGGGAGAGTCCTGCTTAAACATACGGTCTAGACCGATCCTGTATGGGATTCCTATGAAGAAATTACAGGCTAAATCCCATCCCAAATGGCTTTAGGAGGGAGCAGTTGGGTCTTGTCCTTCCACACAACTCTGTCTGACAACATTCCGTGTAAAGAGGAAATTTGTAATTTTATAAAGGTATTTTTATACTGGTTTTTTTACGTGTGCACATGAAATAGGCAAACATGCTCTTCCTTCCACTGTAGCAAGTCTTTCCCTGCGTGTTGATCATAATTACACTTTTTCTCTTACAGGTAAGGTAACATTTGTCAGTTTTGTTTCTACCACAGCAGTAGCTCCAAATGGAAGCAATGCCACACAGTCAAGCCGATGCGTGTCTTTCTAGTTGTACTAATAAAAATTTACAATCATTTTCCAAGTAACTTCTCTGTTGAAAATGTGTTTTAAACTTAACAGAGACTAAATGGTAATAAGGAGATGTGAAGTTATAACTTTAGCAATAATGCCTAAAAATAGCCTCCAAAAAGCATTTTTGTACCCTTAGCTGGCTTTTTTTTAAGCAGCCCTGACAGGCCTGTAAGCACTGCAACACTTGTGGAGATTCTGGCACTACTATCACTGTAAAACTTTCAGTTTCTTCTGTGTGTATGCTTCCAGTACAGAATATTACCAGCAACAGACTGAGAAATCTGAAAAACTAAATCTGCAATCTGAACACATTTTGTTCTATGGCTATTTCTCTGGAATACAGTTAGTTTGAAACAACAATCTTCTTTTAACTTGTACACAGCATTTCAACAACATGCAAACATGCTGAAATCAAAATAAAAAGCACACAGAAGCTTAAAACAGTTAAAATGTATGTTTTCACTGCAGTAAGGTAGCCAGGACCATAAGGGCAAGAGTAACACAACCAGAATAAAACAAGAACAAATAATACAAAACCCACACTGAAATTCAGTTGTGAGAATGATCTTAACACAGTCACATTCAGGACTTGTCCATTAGCCTTCACAGAGAGCCAGGGATGGTGGGAGCAGCAGGCACTCTGCCTTGCCTTCTCCTCAGCCTTGAGCTGCAGCCAGTGGGCCTGAGGAAAAACATGGCTTGGGCTAAACATTCAGCTGAAATTGTGCCCCAGGTACAGACCAAACCTCAGTGCTGCCAAAACACTTGCTCAGTAAAGGCAATGGCTGACTGCCTCCTGCAAATGTTTAGCACAGGCATGGCTGCAGTGAAAGCAAAATCAAATATTGCACATCACAAAGGCAGTTAAAGCTGCTCTAGGTGTAGCTGCAAAGTTTGGGGCAATTAAAAGTGGTTGTTTTGGTTTATTTTAAAACGACAAAAGCCTAAATGTACATGACATCTGGAAGGCACCTGTGAGATGATCTTAAAAAGCTTGTTTTCAAAATGGAAAAGTGAGGTCATGCTGTGCCTAAGTGCAGGAGTGCAGAAGCAAGCAGGGGATCATGATGTTTTCAGTGCTAAAAAAAAATAATAAAGGGAACATTGAACTGTTGAGAAGTATAGGGAGAGCAATTCGTTTGCACCCTTCATTTGGCACCACTTTAGATATGGCCAATTAACATTTTGAAGCTTTTACTAAAGACTCACTACCTTCATCTTCCCTTCAGTAAAAGACAGCAAGTGATCCCAGCAAACAGCCCTCAGGTATTTCTGCTGCTTGTCCATCACAAAAATACCAGCCAACCAACCAACCAATGAACCAATTCCCACCCAAAAAACTACCAACCAACCAAAAAAAAAACCAACCCCCCAAAAAAGTGTTTTATGCAGCGGATAACAGATAATTTTATCACCCAGACTGCTTTTCAAAGTCCTCTACTAGAACACAACCTATAGAGGACAATTTTAAGCAACATGCAGTATCAAATACATCAGTGATGCAAGACACAAAATAAAAAAAGTGTGTGTTATTTTGCACCATTTCAAGTGGTACAAAAACACAATCTCAGCAGAGAGAAACATTTAAAAGGATCTGAAGTTTCACAGTAACCCACAGAGCCTGGCGCTTTTGAGACCCAAATGAAATCAGCTTTCATCCAGTTTAAGATGCGTCCTGCACTAAGCTGTGAGCAGTGGGGTGATCATGCTTGTAAAGAGTCACATAATAGCAATTTAAATGTCCCAGAGCATCATGCAGCTGGTCTAAGGGCTGACAGATGACTCCAACTTATTTTTCTTCATGTAGTTATTTTGATGCCATGGCTTACAGACAGGTTTGGGAAGATCTCACTCTGAATATTTGCGGCTTTTGTGTAAGACCCATGTGAATTCCTGACTCCAAATGATCTACCTGACAAATGTGCTGGTAGGTTCTGCTCCTGTAGCAGAGGCAATAAGAGGGCAGGTCACAGGCCAGTGTTGTCCTCCAAACTCTTTTTCACAGTGACAGGAGGGGACAGAGCTGAGCCCTGCACTCCCTCAGATCACTGCTAAGTCTCAAAGCTCCTCCATAAAAGCTCAACAGTCATAGACACAGACTCACAGAACATAAAAACAATCTGCCCTGTAGACACAAGTGCCGTAGGTTTAAGGTGCAGATGATTCATTCAGGTCAGACAATAGAAACAAAACCAGTATTTGACTTCTAGGGCAGGAAAGCACTGGCCTGGCCTGTTTCTCTGGAGCTCTTTACAACAGGAGAACATCTGCTACGAATTGCAAGGGTAGAGCCGAGCTTGCCTTGGGGCTGTGCAGTAGAGTAGATGATTTCACGGCATCCCAGTAAGTCTCTTCCTGTATGATTCTGCCCTTGTATCAGCTCATCTCCCTGCACAACCTGCTGGCTGTTTTGCATCTTCTTTTTGGACACCTTGCAGCTCCCATGGCTTGTAGAGAAAGCTGAGATGTTTCACTTGAACAACTGGAGGCCACTCCTAGCAAGGTGCCCCCACAGCAAGAAGGATGTTACAGACAAACATCTGAAAACGTAACTGCAAATCAACATGCTCAACATGATCTCTTAGAATTTGAATGTCTGCCATCACTTCAAAGGTCCCCACTAACTTGATGTTAGAACTTAACAAAACATTTTCTCTTATGTTCAACCAGATTAAAAAAAAAAATTCAGAAATAGCTGTCATCACTGGCTCCTTCCTCTTTTTTATTTCTATAGAAGAAAAAACAAAAGGGTTATTTTTCTCTTTTTCTCCTCACTAACACTAGGGATGGAGTCAGCCCTAATTACATTTTACCTTTTGAAAACAGAACTGTTTTAAACTTTTGGTAACATGTGGTGACCGGCATTTGAATGAACTTAGCATACCCTCAGTATCTGCCCTGCATAGCAGCAGCTGTCTCAGACCTCACAGCGTTTGTTTAAATTCTTGCAGAGATCTTAAAAGATGTGGAATATGTAATGTTGATCGTTGATGTGTAAAGCTCATGGTTCAATTAAAAAGCAGAGCCCTTGCCCCAAACACAGTGCCTAAAAATAAACACAAATCTTGGCAACTGGAAAGCAGAAACTTTCAGAAAGTAACAGAACCAAAAAATGGGCTCAATACTAATAATTCATTAGCAGCTACAGTTTGAGGAAATTTTTTATTTCAACAGGTGTTAGCGGATACAAAAAATTTTCCTAAGTTCCTCCATAAATCTGCCATGTAACTGGCAAAGGGAAGTAAATGGAGGGAAGTAAAATGGTAGCCATATTTTAGTCTGGAATCCAGAAGTAGCCATGTGTACCTCAACCACCTTTGTTCAGTGTGCTGAGCAGTGGGAAAATGACAGAGGCAGGACTCATCTACCTCCAAGAGGAGATGAGCAACAGCACTCGGATGTGGGATATGCAGTGGGCTATACCTTCTTCTGAGCAGCCTTTAGAGACACTTCAGCTGATTATTATAAAAGTCTGGAAGAATGTAAAAACACCTGAGAGTAAAGAGTGATCTCATCAGCTAGAAGCTGCTATTTGTAAGAGAAAGCCTGAAGACAGACCGGAGTTACCCACTGCCAGACAATTCTGCAGTGCAGGCAGGAGGCAGTTTACAGAAAAGTCAAGCAGTCAACATCTGAATTGGGTGGGGAGGAAAAGAAGTCCTGTCAGTGGCAAATAATGTGGAATGGTACATGGAGTCAAAATGGAGGGATGCAGTAGGAGGATGAACTAACACAGAGAACAAAAGACTGCACTAGGATTTGCTCTTTTCGTGAAGAGAAAGGTGAGGGACACACATGACACATGTCTCTTCTGGGCTGCTCTCCTGATGGTTAGAAAGGTGTTTGGCCAGCAGTGAGATGGCCCATGCAATAGCCTGGTGAACAAACTGGACCATAATGGTTATAGAAATTACTGTGTACACACACTGCAACAAGTAACTACAAGTCTTGAAACAAGCCAACCAGTAACTTTACATCCCAGCCCTTCTGCTTACTTCACACTTCAGCAAATGGTGAATCCCAGGGAATGCCAGGATTCTAGGGTAGCACTGCAAAGGAGCAGGATGACTTACCTTAACTGGATCCTGCAAATCTGCATCCATGCAATACCATTACGTATTATGCAATGTTGCATACAAGAAATAAGCAGTATGCAAAGTCTACTGTATGAAGATATATAAAAAACAACCCAGCCTCTGAGATCTTGAACATCTTAATAAATTATTGAAAAGTTTTATAAACAAAAAAGCTTTTAAGGAAATGTGTGTGTCATCTACCTTGGTTGAAGAAAACAGAACCACAGTGTAGCATAAATCAGCAGTTATTACTCTTGTGTTTAACCAGTTAGCATTCCAACTTTGTAAAACAGAGTAAAGCATCTTCTTCACACAAAAGAGAATTCAAACCTGCTTTTTCTGCTGGAGATACAGCACTGCTGCCCACTTCAGAAGCACACACAGAGACTTTGGCACATGAATTAATACCACCAAATGTATCTGTATTAGTTTCCTTTGATAAGTTCAGAAATTCTTTAGAGTTCAAGTCATTTGTACTCCCAGAATCATCCTGAATGTCTAGTAAGGAGGAGGTGTCCTCTACTAACCCATCTCTTGAACAGGCCTGAAAAGGTGTTTTAGATGTCGGCAAAACACTGTCAATGGTTTCCTCCTCTGATACAGCACCTGCAGCTGAACTGAAAGACACAGAAGTAGCTTGGGACTCCCCTCTATCATTCACATTGCACTCATCTTTCCATCTCTTAATTGCTTCTGTCTGCCCCTCCAGGGTCAGTCTGTCAAGGTGCTTGGCTCTCAATAACGGAGATGGAAACAATGTTCCTTGGAGAACTCTCAGAAAATATCTACAAAATAAACACAGTTACAAATAAGCTGTTTAAAAGCAAACTCAAAACTGTTTCCAGCTACACTAAAGGAAATTGAACACCTTCAAGTAACCCTGAGGCTGCAGCAGGCTCTGGAAACTGTTAGTCCAGCAACTGCACCAGAACATGCCATAAAACTGTCATTTTCAAAGATAGATATTATCTCAGCTGCCTTCATTTTTATGTCCTGAATACAGTTCTCCTACACACTAGTTTCTGTACCAGTATGCACTGCCAGCTTCAGTGAAGGGCCAGGGTTCCAACTACACTGGAAGTGGAACTTTCTCTGTATAGTGTTGGCCCCAGGAAAAAGACATGAAAATCCGTGTGCAGTTCACTTTGCATTTAATTCACCATGAAACACACTGTCTTCTACAAAACTGAACAGCTGTACATTGGAAGCAGACACCAAGCTGAATGTTTTCTCCTGCCTTGGCTCTCTACAGCCCTACCAAAAGGTCCCAGAACAGCATTTATCTACTTATTTGTCATGTAAGGGAGATTTAATGTGTGTGAAAGAAAAAGCTCTACTGTCAGCACCTCCAAGCTGAGGAGCAAGGATGCAAAGAAAAGAGCAGACATGTTTCTTGTACCTCACAGTTTGTCCTTCTGCTGAAGTGTGAACCAAAGCTATCAGTCATATCAGATCAGTCATGATCCCCAGTGAGTGTAGCAAAACCCTAGATGACACTCCTAAGACACAGATCAAGCCATGTTCAAAGGGGACTTGAATGCTTGGTGGCTATTGCAGGCACCTACAGGCACAGCTCTGCCAGCTTTCCTGCTGGCAGCACTGACAACTTATGCAGCCTGTACTGCAGCACTTGACCCAGAAAGGGTGCTGAGATTGTGTCTAGCCATATAAAATTACATCAGATGAGGAAGAAACAGCACTTATTGTCCCCAGCACTTCCTAGTATCTGTCTGTGCAATTCAATTTCAAGTCTAATTCTTTCTGAAATGAAAGAGACAAAACACAGAACAATGAACAAATTAGCAGAGGCACTTCACTGATAGGCTGCAGACGAGTTCATGTTCAGCCAGTGAAAGGAAGATGGCTGTGGCTACTAAGGAGAGCTAAACCGAGAGTTTGATCAAGTCTCTTTCATTGGTTTTCACACTGTTTTCCTCTGTTGGCTCACTCAGGTGTCACCCTGCTCAGCATGCTGGAGTTTGGGACCTCCACCCAATGCTCCCGCCTTTCCAGAGTGAATCAGTTATTGAACTTGGACTTCTTCAGTGAGGCAAAAAATATCAGGGCCCCTTGTGAATCTAGTCAGTGTGTTTTCACTTCACAAAGAAGTCTGTACATGCATTCTTCATTCTAAATATTCGTGTATATACTTGTGACATAAATTTCAAACAGAAAATCATTTCACAAATAAACACAGACTAAGCACAGTACTTATATGTCCATGCCCTAAGCATAGTACACGTCCAGCTTTGATCACCGATTTGCATATAAATTATGAACTCTGTGGTTAGAAAAATTACTGTTTCTTTACCCTCAAAGACAATATTTAATATAGTGTAAATAACAAAATGTTTTTTTATTACTGAAATTTACTTTGAGAAATAAGTGTCACTAAAAAGTTGTCCTTGCATAGCTTGGTCTGGTAGAGTCATGAAATTTTCTTTAAATTGGGGGTTGGGGGGGAAGACCTCTAGACAGAGATTTATAACATCACTGAGTCACAGAAAACTAATTTTGGTAACAGCAGAAATCTGTGATTATAAAACAGAAACACACCTGGGTAGCAGAGCAACACAAGTAGTCAGGAGGAAAACTAAGTAAAATACTGGGTCTGTTATGTGCTTTTCCATGATCCAGTAAGAATTTGATCGTGGGTTGTGGGTTTTGCAGGTTGCTCCAAAAGCCAGAGTGAAGATAAAGTAAAACAGGATGCTGCCAACTATAACTACTGTATGTATCCAAGTCTGCAAAGCAGAAAAGGAAAGAAATTAGATTTAAGCTCTAAAACAGGAAGACCGGTAACACCCGTATGTGTGTACACTGGCAAGCATGAACATGCATACTCTTCCTCCAAGGGCAGCTGCTGAATGTACCAGAGGATACACCTGTTCAGATAATATTCCCAATTTCATACAAAACGGTCCAGAAAGAATGGAGCGGTCTTTCCACAGTACACAGGTACCCCAACCACTTAATTTATTTTATTCTAATAAATTCATAGCTTTTCATTCTTTCGTGAAAGACATTTTTATGCCATTTGCCACCTCATCTACCGGCAGCAAAGAAAGCTTTCTCAAGCAAACGGAGGCCAGATCTTCACATGACACCACCCTTATGTATCTTGCTTGAGAGGTTAATTAGCTTTCTACACTGGAGTTTTCTGTAATTTTACACCTAAATGACTATAATAGGAAACAACATTGTCACTGGTCTGACAGCTGCTGACATTCAAAAACGCCAAATAAAACCCATTTAAGTCAAGTTCTCTATTCAGAGCGTGAATACACTCATGCTATCCATATATTCTCAATAAAGACATTTTTATTATGGCTGCCACGCTCCCAAGAGAACAATGAAATCACAACTTGAAATTTCATCCATTATAAAACAATCCTAAAAATATTTTTCAAAAAAAGTCAAATAAATAATAAAATCCATTAAGCTGCGTCCTTCTACTGTAAACATTAATGTATTTTCTTTAAAATTATGCCAAATAGCCAAATATTACCCTTGTAAGGGCTATAACTTTATCCAAGGTAACGCAGATGCTTCAGCTTGCACAGACTTAATTAAAAACTGCAATAATGTTTCCGTACCATACTGGTTTTCCCATTCTGGCATCAAAATACCCCTCCAAATTGTTCATCCTGGCAACAGAGCAGATCATCAGCTCCAAGCATTCAAAATCAACAATTCACATTGTTGTCTTTGAGATGCCAGCTTTGAGAACTAAGGAAGTTTCAGTAGATCACTGGTTGATTTTATCATTTGCAAAACTGAACTGACATCCCCAAAATCCACCATACCCTAACAAGGCAGGATCCTTTCACTGTTTACAAATAATTCTGAGGCCAAATTGTATCCATTTTAGTCATATGAGTAATTCTATTGGTTCCAATGAGAGGTGCATTAGAAGAGCTCACACGGTCACATAAGTATAATATTTAGGTTTTGGCCCTTTTATATGTATTCTGTTTTGTATATGAAGATCTTCCTTCCATTTCATTTTATTGAAAGCTGTACGCACATATTCTGTTAGGAATATACTGTTTTGGAAACAAAGTACTCACCACAGACTTGCACTCAATGAGAAGGTGAAACAGTATTGTGAAGAGCGCTGCTGTGTTTATAGGGTTTCCAAAAGAAAGAATATCTATGTCTGAGTCATAGTAAGTCTGTAAAGGAAGACAGCAGTCAGTGTAATATATTCTTTACATATAGTCCCAATACAAAGTGTCATGAATAGTTTCAATACCATACATATTTGCATGCACACATTTCACTTCCATTCCAATGACGATCTTCTTAGTATACATTTATATATCAGGAAGAAAAATCAAATACTTATTCTCTGATTTGCCTAGGTTTTAAGCATGTCAAAATGTATAAACGTATTCTGTATCCAGCACTTACAAAGTAAGGCACAAAAAAGCAAACCAGACTTTGGTAAAAAGCATCCAGCAAGGTTATCCAGAGAGTTGAAGGCAAGTAAGCCTGTGAGAAAAAAACATAATGGCATTGAAACAAACTGAACAAATTGCTGCATCCTTAACTAGCTTTAATTTGGATTTAGGGAAAGATTACATGCAGAAGTAATTCCAGTTAGTTTCCCAATGAAAGAAGCATCTTTTGTGTTATAGTTATTAGAATGAAGATCTCCCTTCAACCATAACTGTTAGTATTTAAATCAGCAGCCACCTCTGGGAACTCTGATCTTACAGTCGTTTCTGTCAGAACAGACCTACTAGAGCTGTAGCTAACTGAGTACTAAGGAAAGGAGGGGGCTAGCAGACAGTGATGTACCCTGCACTTTACCATCACTGAATGCCAAGTCCCACTTTCTTCTTTGTCCAGCCCCTTCTTTTTGGTACATGCTCTGCTTGACTTCTCTAACAATGTTTATGTAGTACATTGCTTCACGTGAAGTCTTTAATTTTTCTTATCATCCAAATGTCTGATAAGATCGGGTCTATGACTAAAAAGAGCCAACAAAAATTTTCTGAAAAACAGATTTTATTTGTGCACATATTGCACAGGCCTAGATGTTTTTCTAATAGAGAAAGTGCTTTAAAACAATGTTTTCTGAGGGGAATCATAAAAGAAAGATAAAAATGGCTCAAATGCTGATCATTTCAATTTGCTTCAGGCCAAGCACTCTTTAACCTACCACAGATTTCTGGCTCATTATGTACAGCTGTGGGAGCTGCATGAGTATCTCTGCAGATACATCTTTGTCCAAGACACCGTAAATGATGGGTGGCACCGATGTAAAAAGGAGATTGAAAAGAATCAAGATCCAGTAGTCAGTCATTGATGTGCCTGAAAACCCACAGAAAAACTGGTACCAAAATAGGAGGTTCACGTAGGTCTGAAAAGTCAAAGATGACATGATAAAATGTTACTCACAGACAAGTGTTTTAAAAGCCAGGAGAAAACCAGGCAGATCCTAGGTCTGGTTACAGTAATCTGTGAAAAACTAGGTATAAATGCTACAGAGTTCATGCCATCTGACACTTGAAAATTATATTTGACCAGCATGCAGTTTTACACTTCAAAATCAGACATGACTTGTTTAAATAGTCATGCTGCCACCACATTAATAATACCCATTACACACTGTTTAATCAAATCAGACAATGGCTTTGAGTGGGAAATTCAGTCCAAGAAATAAGAGTCTCTGGTCTCTGCAGACATAAATGAGAAACTGAATTGTTTGACATATGCTTTTTGATCTCATTCACAATAGGAAGAGAAAAAAGAAAATAAAGCCCCACTAAACCCCTCAGTGCCCCCAAATATGCAAACTGTGTTTTCTATGGGATTGGATAGCTACATACCACATTCTTGTAGAAGTAGTAAAGCACCATGTTGGCAAGTCTGGTATAACACCAGTGACCATGGACAAGCAGCAGCTTCCTGAGGTGTCTAAACTGAGAGATTGCAAAGTCACTTGCCATCACAGCCTGCAATGCACATGAAGAAAAGGATATGCTACATCCAAACCATTAAAGACAAGCTTCAGATACTGCCAAGTCAGCAACTTACCCGCTGTTGGAAATACTTATTTTATGATTTTTTATATATAGCGCTTACGAGGTTACCCTCACTCAGATATCCCCTTCCATACAAAACTTTACAACTAACACACAGAGCTCAGCCCAACATAGCATAGGCAGGAACATAGCTGTTGCCATTATTACCACACAAGTGCACAGAAATCACTGACACTTAGGCTGCTTATTTCCCTGCAGGACATGAGTAATTGGGAGCTCAGTGATAGGCAAAAAGATCTGTTGTTTGGAGCTTGACCTGGAGCATTCAGCTTCTGATTACTCGTGGCAGAATGCTGAGACCAGGGTGTGAGCTCAGGCTGCGAGCTCAGACTGCAATGTCTTGCCTGTGTAAGGGTGTAGATTGTGGAGCTGCTGGGTCTCCAGTGTACACTCCAAAGTGATTTAAAATGGAACCTGATGTCATTTGCAGCTGTCTTTGGATACACTACCTGCATGCCTTCTTGGCCCGATATTCCCACACCAGTGTCAGCCACCTGGATCATACTGACGTCATTGGCACCATCACCTATAGAGAAAAGAGGGAGAATCAAAACTAGCTTTGCAGGCTATCACATCGCTCTGGATGTGGCAGGAAAAGACAAATACTAAACACCAGAGAGTTCAGAGAAAAACATTTTTATGGCCAACAGCGCAGCCTATGGAAAACGTTAAGGAAAAGAGGATTAGTAAGTGGAAGGCCTGACTGAACTGAGCTATATTCTCCAAATGGATAATAGCTGTTCCTTTTGCCAGAATCTAGTTGGCATGCCAGAACAGAAAATATGGGTGTTTTAAATCAGAGCCAGTTATATCCCCTCTGCCTTGCTATTTTGGGGGGTTGTGATGGAAAGGAAAACCCTCTTACTTGCTGCTTTGCACATGTTACATAACATTGCATGACTGATGCTGTTCTTATTGCTTAGATTACTGTAAGTTTATGGACTAAATTTGCTAGTTCAGAAGACTAACAGCATCTTATGCTAGAGACAACTACGGTTCAAAGATTATCTTGCTTGCAAAACAAATTTTGTTACAGACACTAACAAAATACAGGAGAGAAGAAACTGGCTTCTACTTCTTTTCAGAGGAAGAAGGATAACCGCAGGACTCACCTACAGCTAACGTCACTGCCTTTAGCTTACTTCGCACCAGCTTGACCAGGACACTCTTCTGTAGTGGTGTGGCTTGGCAGCAGACTACAGCCCGACATTTTTCTGTGAGTTCCAAGAAAATATTCTGTAGGCTGTCATGAAGGACATGCTCTAAAGTCCTTCCATCAATAACCAGGCCTGCACTGAACCCTGGAGCTTGGGTGGAGGGACTTGTAGAGACATTTCCAAGCTTCTGACTGGGGTTTTTTTTGGCAGAAGCATTCTTCTGGATGTCTTCTAAAATTTTGCTCATTACCAAGGCACAGACATCCTAATTAAAGACAAAAGAAAGGCAACTTATTAAATACTGTTTGTATTCTGGTTCCCTTTTGAATTCATAAAATACAGAAAAGGTCAAATGCAGCCCTTGTATAGCATTTCTCTTTAATCCAGAAAGGCTCAGACATGAGCCTGAATAACCCTTTAAAATCACTAAGGATGCAGTCCGTTGTTAATAAAAGGGTCTGTGATATAACTTTGCTTAAGCAGATTGGCTTGGGTATTTCATAAGGAGAAGGGAAAAAACTGAAGCAAGTCAGAAAACCTTCACAGACTATCGGGAAAAGCAACTGTTAAGGATTCTGTAATGTTAAGACAGCTTTCATAGAAAACTTTTGCTCCTTAGATTTCTTTTGTCTAGCATGCAAAGCCAAAAGTGCACTTCAAATCAGATTACAGGTGAGCTGCAGTGAACTGTTGAAGAACTGGCCTGGTAGAATTTTTTAGCTTGTCAGAATCAACATAAGATGCCCAAAAATGTATTGATATTGATATATATAAGTCCATGCCATATAGAAGAACAAATGTTCTCATTATTTCACTTTGAAATGCAACAGTATCAAATCCTATTTTTTGTTTCAAAACCCAGTTAGAGGGAGGAAGAGCACTACTCCAAAAGTGGCTCAGTTCCCACTGTCAAATAAGATACTCATTCCCCAGTCGGGAAAAAAAAACAGAGAGAAGTGTTAGCAGAAATCAAATTCCAAGCTTTCCTCAAACACAACTGCATTAACATCCTTTATTTTTCACTTTATTTTCCCCCCAGTTACTACTTGCCACACTATCTTTTATGGCCTCTTAAGAAATACAAACTACATTTCTTAAGTACCGTGTTTCTCTTAAGAGAAACAAAGAAAAATGAAAGATCTTAGAAAAGTCCTCCACATTTTGGAGAAGCCTCAGGTTTTATGGCTGCTCTGAGGAGGGACATTTCATACATTGGCTTTACCAGCAATCTCTCTGGTAAGCAATCCAAAATTGATAAAAATCAACTGAAAACCAGCTTCTTATAAGCAACCACAAGAGGATGAAACGATGAAGTAGGATTAAACTTGCTATCCAAACCAGCATTTTTAACCACTCTTTATCACACAATTCAATTACTGGGTTGTGAGGGAGAAGGTGGTTTTTTCTCTGATAAAAGTGTTGACAGATTAGTTTGAATTGTGTGCAATGTACTTCAATGAGATTATTCCTTCTATATCTTTGCGAGACAACCAGGGCTGAAGGCAAGTATTACAAAAAGCAACATAAAACTTAATTCATTAGAATTTGCCTAACAGTAATTCTCATACTGCTAATATGCTACAACTCACAGCCATTTGAAATGTCTAATAACATAGAATCATACAATCATTTGGGTTGACAATGAGCTTTAAGATTATCCAGTCCAACCATAAACCTAACACTGCCATGTCCACCACTAAAACAAGTTCTTCAACACCACACCTACACACCTTTTAAACACCTCCAGGGACAGTGCCTCAACCACTTCCCTGGACAGCCTGTTCCAATGCTTGACAATCCTTTCGGTGAAGACACTTTTCCTAATATCCAACCTAAACTTCCCCTGGCACAACCTGGGGCCTTGTTAACACCCTAACTTATCACAGCGGGAAATTAAGCAGTCTTAATTGAAATAATTAATCATAATTTAGGGACTGTATATAAAGAAACAAATGTTACATGCATAGAAAAGATTTCACATGTTACCCACATGGAAGGAAACCATTAGTTTTCCAGTATTTTCATGTTCCAAGAAATCATGCTGTCTTTGTTTGGTTGAGAAAGCAGAGAACATTTTGTTTCTCTATATTGTCCTGTGGTACAGCCTAACAGAATTTTTCACCAGAGAAGAAAATCTAATTTTCCACTCACCCTACTTTGTGATTTAAGACTGAAGATTCTGTCATCTGGTTCCAGCAGCTTACAAGCATAGGCAATGTTGACAGCTGTCTCTCTCTTGTCACCTGTCAGCATCCATATTTTTATTCCCGCTTTCCGTAATGCCTGTATCGTGTCCGGAACACCCTCCTGCAGGCGATCTTCAATGCCAGTGGCACCTTAATTTAGACAAGCAGAAGGATTAGTGCTGCTGTTATTTCCAAAATGCTGCAAGAGTGACAGGACAAGATGGTTCTCTGCGTACCCACATCCAAAACTAGACACCCTACTGTGAAATGCTTGAAAATGGGAGCGAGATGGGGAGAGAGGAAGGGAGGGGGAGGAGTGAAGGCAGGAGGGAGAGTGGGATTAGGGGATTAAGGGAGGGAGGGAAAATGGAATTAAGAGAGGGTGGGAGGGGGGAGGGATGCAAGGGGGGAAGGATGCAGAGAGGGAGGGTGGGTTGAATTAAGGGATTAAGGGCAGGGGAGAGAATGAGGAAGGTGGGGGGGATGGGGGAGGGTGGGATTGAAGGAGCTGGGGGGAGGGAGGGACAGAGGGGAGGGAGTGAGTGATTAAGGGAGGGAGGGAGGGAGGGAGAGTGAGATTAAGCAAGCATCTTGGCTGTATGAAGCCATTTAACATCCGTGTTCTCACTTCCATTTAACGTTAGGGCCAACCCATACTGGTTACTGTCACACCAGAGACACAAGCAAAAAAAATGCTTTGGCCTGCAGGACAGCAGGACCCCACAGCAGCTAGACTTCTCTCTGCTGGCTTTAGTGCCAAAGGGTACCTGGATATCCTTAAAATGACATCAGTTTGCAGCACTCCTCTGGCTTCTCTCCAGAAACTGAAGCCAGTAATTCCAGAACTCTTTTTAGTATCAAGGTTTATGGCATTTGCACTAAGCAGATATGGCACAAAATGAGGGAAGTAACACCTTTTTACACAGCTTCTCTCTTCAGCTTCTAGCTTCTAGCATGAGCTGCCTTTACTGCGAGTCTGCAGTTGCCCTTTTACACACCTTTTGAAACATTTTTTATTTCATTTCTGCACAGCTGAATGACCTTCAGAAGAATGGTTCCTGCAGAAGCATGCCTGACTTCCCAGCTCCATATTATTACAGGAGGACACAGCACAAGTATACCTGCTGTGCCACAAATGCAACACTGATGGAAAACACATCCAGAAGTGGGATATCTCTGAATGTTTGCATAGGCAGGCCTGTGATTTGTTATTATCATTTCATATGCTTATTAAAATGATATTTAAAAACTCTAGTGAACACAGAAAAATACAATAGTAATGATTAAAAAAAAAAAAATCAGTAAAAAAATGTTTCCCCTTTACAAACAACAGGAGAGTACCAACTGTCTTCAGAGTGTTTTACTAGTACAAATTTACTAGTGAGATCTATGAAAATTCAGGAGTGACAATAAATTCTAGGTCTGTAGAAAGCTATGTGTTACACAAATTGAGATTAGCACAGCTCTCTACAAGCAAATTCCAATTATGAACATCATAAGCTGTTTCCTGGGGGTTATAGCATTTTCTACATACCGAGCAAAGTTAGTTCTGTCTCAAGCCTCGTGGCAGATTCAAGCAGCAGCTTCTCCCTGTTGTCAATACTGGTTTCTGCTAAAAAATGATGATTTAACCACTCTGCATATTCTGCATCACTCATCACCTACACAGGGAGAGAAAACATCCGGCATGTATCTATACTGTGTTTTCAATGGTGCCTCGAAGTGTTCTCGTGGTTACTTCTGCTGCCCACATCCTGAGCCTAGAAGTGCAGCCCCTGGCAGAGCATTGCTCTGACATGTGCTCCAACATGTCCCTGGATTTAGTAGGGTGTTCAGAGAGTTAGATTACTTACCCAGCCTACTCACTGGGACCCTGCGGGTTCCTGGAGCTGCCTGCCAGATTTCCACTTAGACGGAAGGTAGCAGTCCGTGGACACAGTATTCTCTCCCTACTGCTCTTTAACTGCAGCACTGAGACAGCCACAGAACCACTGCACAGCTGAGTACAGCTCGATGACTGCGCAACTACACAGCCTGTTCTTTCACTTTACATAAGGCTTTGTAAAGAGGCTTCTTGCCTGTTTCAATCCCTAAGGAAATTTACTTCTGATCAGCTTTGAATTTAAAGTGGAATCTCAAAACATCACTTAAGTTGTGCATCTAAAGTTTGTAACTTTGCAAACTGTTTGTGACATCCAATAAAACAGGTGTGACTTAATTTGTTTTCTGTGCCTGAAATTCCAAACAGGGTAAGATTCGCACAAGGAGGTCTGCTTAGGACTCTTAAAGAAAAATCAGAGTATTTAACAACCCCTGTTTCATAATTGGGCTGTTAAGCTGCTTGATCCTAAATTGACAACAACTATGGCAATCCAACAGAAGTCAGGAACTGATCTGGGTTATCTTACAGATTCCTTCTGAAAGAACATAAGGATAAACAAAGTGGGGCAATGGAAGAATCTGTTTAGAAGCTGTGATGTTTGCTCCACTGGTGATACCTCTCAGGCTGGTCACAGACTGCAAACATTCTTCAAAGTATGTATTAAAAGGAATACCTTCTTAGCAATACACAGAGTGCGCAGTCCTCTTCTGGCATAGTCATCCAAATGCTGCTGAGTTCTCTCTTTAATCTTCTCTTCAACTTCTGAATTATTAGTACATGCTATCACACAAAAAGAAGAGAAAGCAAATTAAACATGTTTGTTTAGGCTAAATTTTGTGGAAAATTTTGAAGGTCTAAATACATTCTTAAAACACCAAAATGTTTAAACTTTTAACTATGAATGTATCTTCATGTTTGCACCATGTGCTGTCTCTATAGTGAGCATGCAGTGCACCAGTCTGCACAAGCAATGCAGATGAACCCATCTGGTACTGATACGTCTTTGCTTTGTATCAAAATCTTTTTCTAAAAAAAATTATTTTCTAAAATGAACTGGGCCACAAATACTCAAGAAGCTTTACTGTCACTGGTCTAGTGGGAGGGACCCAAAAGGGCAGTTACTGAAAAGCTTTGATAAAAATAACTGTTAAGGGGTGCACTATTCAGACAGGCATTCAATTCACCTAACTTCGGAGATGCAAAAGTTAGGTTCCAAGTTTACCTTGAGAAACAAAGTAAGGAGAGGCACCTCAAGAATGAAATTACTCCCCTAGTAAGATGAAAGATTTTGGAGGTATTGTATCTGTCCCATGGCCTACAGAGGCTTTTTGTCTAAACTTTAGATGGCTTATGTTGGGCAAGTTAAAATCCACTCTTGAAACTGGAAACATTCCTCTTCCTTATGCATCATACAAACCAAACTTCCTTTTGCAGAAAGCAAGCCTTTAAATATAATTCCTTTATATTACTTTTCAAACCATAAAAACAAACAAACCCCACCACCACCTTGGAACATCTTCTGAACTTAAATATACTTAGGTATTTATTTCTAATATACACAGGTAATATTTTCTCTTTACTCCCTTCAGTTAAAAATCAGTGACCATTTGCTATGGTGTATGAATAAGTCAGAGCTTAAACAACGTGCATGGTGCATCCCTCCTGTGGCCCATTCAGAAACATTTACCTCCACACAACAGGGCCCAGCAGATATTATTATTACATCTAGAAACACAGAAATAATGAGTGGCTGAGGAAAAAAAAATCAAAACGCACTGAGAGCTGACATCTGCTCCTGACACCTCTCTCCAAAAGTTGAGAAACGCTAACATAGGTAAAGGCTAGAGAGTATCTCATTCTAATAAACACCACTCACTGTGTAGCAGAAGCCAACTCATGCAGATCACCTTACTTTGCAATTGGAAATACTTCAGTTGGCTCCAAAGGGTCTCCTTAAGACACCACTAAACCCTTTGATTAACAGTTGCTTCTCTCTTTGCAGTTCCCACACCAGCACACAGCACAGATATATCTAGGTGACATGCAATGCTACCTTTCCGGGCTCCCCACAAGAACTGTTCACAGATAATACTTCTGCTTGCTCACTTGTCTCCTCTCATGAATCATGCCATCTTTCACCTGTACTGAAGAATGTACAAGGTGAGCAAAGAATTACGAGTTCTATGGATACCTTCAGATGCAGTTCTCAACAAATCCATCATGACTGAGTCTGCGCCTTTTGTGTACACCACCACTTTGTTGGAGACCGGATGCCGAACCACCACTGACATCCTTTTCCGCAGTGAATCAAAAGGCAGGATATGCAGAAGCTGAAACGTTAAAGATCCCAGACCTGCAAAGTCCACAGTTACTTGATCTGGAGTCCTAGACTGTAAAACGCATTTATAAGCCCTGGCAGCGTGAACCAAAGCAGCTTCATCCGGACTCTCGGCTTCATAACATAGTTTAGGTAAGGGAGATAACTCAATAGATGACACAGCACTGTTGGGTTCACAGCCAGCTCCATTCACCATATCTAGTTCCTGAGGCACTTGGGAATTTTCTGGGCTGTCAGTATTGTGAGGTTCACCAGCCCTTTGAGCAGCTCCATCTAAAGCAGGTGAGGCCAGTTTCATTCTGAAAATAGACAGTTTTCTCACAAAACTATTGGGGCTTTCAGATGATGACTCCTTCACACTTGGAAGTGGGGAGGAACTCAGTCTCCGGACTGACAGCCTCTGGAACATTTGCCTGATATCCTCAAGCGATTTAATAGGCATCCTACCCAGTGAAGAGAGTCTCATCTGGAAAAGAATAGTTAGAAAAAGCATTTACGTTAAATTCTTCATATTTTATTATATTAAAGAAGGACAGCTTACAAACTATGTATGTTTCTTAATGAATGCAGTATTTTAAAATTTACCACAAGTTTGACTGCCTGTATTAAAGATGGGCAGTTCAACTAAACATATAAACACACGAGTACACTAAACAGCTCCTGTAAGCTGTAAAAACACTTCAGGTCTGAAAACTGGATGTGTTTCAAGTTTGATTCATGACTCTACACAATACATCTTTTTAAAACTTTCAGTAACGAAAAGAGTTAGCATGACATTGTAACTTTTAAAAGTTGTGGCAAACTGAACTGAACACTTTAATCCTTGTTCTGAATTAGAAGATATTTGTGAGGAATAAACCAACTCCATACCCCTCACAGTAACTAGCTACAAGAATTGCTAGAAACACAGTACCTTATCAATACTTTTTCAATGTTTTAAATTAAAGGTCAGTTCCTCTTTCCTCAATGTTACAAAATAATTGGCTTTCTGTTACTTAGAACAGTTAGTAAGCTGACAGCTTACAACAGAGGAACAAGGCATGCAAGGCTGACTCCTTTGTCACTGCTGTTGAAAAGCTAAGAATGAGTTACCAGAAAACATGTTCTTTTGCCACTGAAAAGCATAAATTAAGGACAGACTCTGGCTTCAGTTCTACCACCATTCCAGCAAGCTGTAATGTGTCTCCGCTCAACATCATGGAAATAGAGACAAGGAACATCGCCCCTCCCTAACGCGACACTGAAATTTGCTCTTGCCTTGAGCTCTTTCATTCATTCTCTAATTGTGAACTCAGAAACCTCGTGCCACATTGCTCTTCTCAACCTTCCTACCAGTGCTTGGAGATCTTCTACTCTGCTAGCAAGTTATTCAGAAATACCTCCGAATATTTCTGAATATTACCTGTACACTCTCACCTGTATATTTTTCTTCATCACATTTAAGGAATAGCTAACTATAAACTATGAACTCAGGTGCCTCATCCACACATGGGCCTCTAGGCTTCCTATGACACTTTCTGGGAATGCTTGGAAGCACAGTAAAATACCAGGCTTATTTATACACAGGAGGTACTTCATACCCTACAGGATATGTTTTGGGAATGTCTCCAGCCATCATTGTAGGTTCACTGCCTAGATAGACACAAAAATCTAGTCCTTCACGTGCCATTAATATTTTTTTCAAAAGACAAAGTCAACAAATGGAAATCACCAAAGAATGGGGGAAGGAAATCGAAGCTGAACTTGAGAATTATCCTGCAACACAGTCAAAACTGGTAAAAAATGGGGTTATGAAAATCCCACCCTGAAAAAAAACCAAAGATTTGAAAAAAATAGTAGTATCTTTAAATATAAAGTTAGATTGTGTGCTCTGAAAACAACGAGTAGTCACTCCAGATTACTGAAGCAGGACAATCTAGCAAATGCACCGTCAATTCAAGGTGAGACCAGTTTATGTCACAATGTAAAGCATTTTTTCTTCAGATTAATATACTTAAAAAATTGATCTTCATATTTTTGTTGAAGCTCTATTTGAATAGTCAGGGAACAGGGAAGAGTGTTCTTAGTTCCAGTATTCTGGGAATCTCCTGAGATTATTCCTATCTTTCAGCCAAGAGTAACCTATTTGTAAAGGTAGCCTAAGTGTTGGTGTATTCTTAAAGGAAGCTATGCCCATATCTAGGAAAAAAACCCAGATTATAGAAAAAAGTTACAATGGCAATTCAATCTCAAAATTTGTCTTGTAAAAGTTATGAACAGTCTATACACAGAAACAAAAAGATGGAAGCCAAGTTACCAACATTGTTTTATACATTAACTCATTGCACTCTGTAACTTTACAGTAATTCCCTTCTTTTTCTAACAGGGCAAACTAAGAGGATAAAAGGATAATTTTTTTATTGTCAGTTAATTGTTTTCTTCCTTTTGTAATCAAACCAAAATGGAGCTTGGTTATTTGTAAATATGGCCAAATAGCCAAAAGTGAAGCCTTCTTACCTTCTGACGTGGCTGATGGGGGACTGAAACCACAACAGTATTACAGATTGCCAGAGCAAGAAAGAAGTCAGTGATATACATTGTCTCCAAAGATAACTTGCTGCTAGCTTCTTCTGACTTTTGATAGGAATGAAAAGAAATTTGACTGAACTTCTCCAGCAGCTGTGTGTCTGGTATAACATCTGTTTCCTATTATGAAATAAACAATGTCCAATAGGTTATAAAATTAATCTCAGTCTCTGAAGATTAAATCAGTTACAGAAGAATGAACAAACAACTTCCCTCCCGTGCTAAGTTAGGAAACAGAGAAACACTTTGGCGCTTTCACTGCCTTATGCTAGTCTATTGAAAATGGAAAACTTCATGCCCAAAGAGGTAAACAGTAAGGTCTTAGTTTACAGACACTTCTACAGAGATTAAGTATGATGAATACTATTTAGACACCTTCAGGTACAGAAGCAGAGTTTTTGCCTCTCATAACCTCAAATAAATATTGATCATCTAGATATTTCCTATTAAAAACAAAAGAAAATTCTAGAAACTTCTTAAAATAAAAGAACAAACTGTTATTAAGATGAAGTTGGCAATTTCATCTGGAGTGGTCATGGACTCACAGCAGCAAGAACCAAAGCATACACCTTCATGATTCAATGAGTATCTGCAATGTCAGGTGCAAATAGGATGCTGCCAAGCCATCATGACAGGCTCTGATTTTGAGGGGAGAGAGAGGGGATTTCTTAAATGACAAGTACTCTTGATCAAATGAGGGTAAAAAGATAATCCCTAATGAGTTACTTCAGAAATTTAGCATCAAACCCAACAGCTTTTACTTACAATGGGACTGCTGAAAGCCATGTGTCCTGAGTGGGGACCATCACCTGCTCCATCTTCCCTTATGAATGCAGGGTAACTACCAGACAACTGGTTCAAAGACTTTCTGTTCAAAGGTTCACACACAGCTCTGCAGTTGTGCCTCTGCCATTTTGACATATGTGTTGCAGAGCCACACTGACAATCAACCGAATCCTCATGCTCTGAATCCATCTCTTGATAGGATTCCAACCTCTTTGCTAAGAAAGGGAAACAAAATTATTGTTCCATGAGCAAAAAGAAACTTGTCTAAAACACTGCCTAAAGGTTCAGGAACCGAAATTTTAAAATAAGGAATTTAATATATAGTTAAGAATAATCCACCATTAATCTACAACCTGTAAGAAGCCATCAATCACACTGACTTCCTGTTTGGGACACTGCACTTCGAGAGCACTATTCCACTGGACCGAATCCAGAAGAGGAAGCAAGAATGATGAGGTTTCTAGACAATGTGTCACATGGAAACAATAAAATTACCTGGAGTTACACAGTCTTCAGAAGGGCACACTGATGGGAAACAAATAATAGTCTTCAAGTGAAGGGCAACTGCACCACAGATATAAATGCGGTTCTATGCCCCACGAATCTAGATAGGAAGGTCAGTGCTGTAAAGAACCACTATAGCAACTGGAAACACTCCTATGCTATCATGTGCTTGATCAAGAACATACCCCAGTGTTTACACTGGAGCTCTCAAATAGTGTTTGATGACATGTCACAAGTTGAAATCTGAATCCAGAAAGCACTGGATCAGTGTACACTATTCAGGTTTCAACGTTTTACCTCTCACTGTGAAAACAGCATGCAATGAGCATACACTAACAGTTCAGTACCTAAAATCCACAGACAGCATGGAAAAATTGTTTTGAGGACTGTGTGTTGCGTATTTATTTCATTGAAGTATGAATACAAACAATGGCATCCTAGGAAAAACAAAACATTAACACACAGACTTATCCAGCAACACCTCTAATTCCCTATTTCTTTCTTATTTCAAGTGGTAGCTACTGTACAGGAAAAAGTGAAAACTGTAATATTATTCTGTTTTATGTAAACATAAAACCTATCCACAGTTCAGTCCCCAGCTCTGTTGCTCAAAATGAGATGGAAATAGGTTTGTTATGTCACTTGTGAGTCCTTTTCCTCCTAGCAAAGCACAGGACCTTAGCTATGTTCCAGAAATGAGGTACCAGATTTGCTACCCTGTTAGGTTTTCCATATTTTCTGTTGTCTTCTGTTTCTGGAACATAAATGAAAGAATCCTCTCATCTTGCCATTCTGATGAGCCAAGGAAAGCAGAGAGACCAGAGCTTACACCTCCCTTGGGAGGCCATCTCCCTATTGTCAACATGAAATTAGTAATGTAATTCTTTCAAAAAACAGATAGATGGGAATGTAACAAACTGTGGCTCTCCACAACTACCAAATACAATATCCCATATGAGGCATTGATACCTTTTACTAGAAAGCAACACCAGTGACTTATTTTGCAGAGGCAGGTTTGGACAACATGCCCATTCCATTATGCTTCTAGGCTGTTGAGAAGAACTGCATGCTCTGTCTGAAGTAACATGTGGCACCTCTTGTAAAACCACACTGCTCTACTGCCATGGTGCAAGAGGCACGTGTTACTTTAGAGAGAACACTGCATGGGGGCACCTATGTGGAGGACTATATACTGAATCACAGGCATTGCTGTTGTGTGCTTCCCTCATGTGCTCCCATTACCCTGGGTCATAGATATAAACAGAGATAAATGTCCAGACTAGGTGGCTTGTATGCAAAAGACTGTACTGTGTTGCACTGCAACTCTTACCATGTGTAGCAGGAGCCTTGCAAGCAGCAGCTCTATGCAACTGAACAAATACAAAGCAGGGCTAAACCACAGGACCTACCAAGGTTTCATAAAGTGATTTTCAGGGCTCATATAATTTCTAATTTGTTAGGAAGAAACCTAAGCTTATTCTCCAGGAAAAAACCAGGGTGCAGGAGGAAATAATTATGAACATAACTAACACACTAATAATTTTGGAAGATAACTCTATGTGAACTACATAGAGAAGCACATGTAGACATACTTTTCCTGGCACACTGAGACCTGAATCAGCTACAGTTGCATCATTCACACTACTGCTTGGTTTCTCTTCTGAAATACTTTTCCTTCCTATAGGAAATGCTCTGAAAATACATTCTACTTCTTATCTAAGTTGTTCATTCACCAAGTTTGAGACTTAAAAATATTTTTTTCTCACTTTGCTGTAGTCATCCTTCCCACTACAATCATGCAAAGCTAAAGAATTATCTGGACAGCCACACCACGACATTTTCAAAATATGTGCAGAAATTGCTGTAAAATTTGTTTGCAACCATCTGGTCCTGTGACAAAAGGAGGGCTGAACTGATTCACTGCTGTGGCCAGCAGGGTGTGCCTTTTGCTCGCAGTTGTGAGCAGCTCTATCTGGCAGCAAACCCACCAATACCACAAAGGGGGTTTAATACACAGCTGTGCTTCACATGTCCACCTGTCAGCACCTCCCCTTTGATCTCATATGGAATGCTTGCATTGCCCACAAGCAAAAGAGCAAAGGTCTGCAGCCGCTAGTACTTACACATGGTAACCGCAATAAAAACTTTGTGGTTTTATATAATTAATAAAATAGCTAATTAAATAATTCGTGTCACTCTGCCCAGTTTTCTTTTGTGTCTGGAGTTGTATCTTCTCCTGGCTCCCATAAGGCTTCAAGCTGGCTCTCATGCTATGTATACTGAAAGATGGTACAATTTTAGACAATAAGATAGCAACTATCTGTTAACACCACCTGGTAACTTTTTGGCTAACAATAAACAGGTGTGTGTAAGATATAAGTAAGAATACAACAGTCATTTTTGATGGAGGTACTTATCTTTGCAGCATTAACACACATATGGACACACGTGATTGACCTGTACCTTAAAATTACTGTTAAGTAATGTATTAATACTGTTAAGCATGTAATTCATTTATGTTACTGTATCCTCAAGGGCAAAAGTATGTTGAATTGCAGCCTTAAGATATACTATATAAAGCTGGTACACTGCTATGTCAGTCAACAGTATGTTTAAACCCTAAAATGCTACTTAAGCACTGGCACTCTAGTTGGGGGAAAAAAAAAAAGATAGGAAAGACTAGATGGGCAATTTTCCAGTGTTCTGGGTTCTGAATATTTCAAGGAGAGAAACAAAACATAGTAGTCATGATTTCTTCCAGAGCAAGTAAAGGATATTACATTCATGGTATCAAAATGGTATCATGTTGGAAAAATGACCCATGTGAACACAGGTTTAGTGTCTTACCATTTTCCTCATGGCAATACTCCTGTCCTGCAATGCTGCATCTCCGAAAAACCATTTTATTTTCAGTGAGGGTTCCAGTCTTGTCAGAGAAGATATATTGAATCTGGCCAAGGTCTTCAGCAATATTCAGTGCTCGACACTGAATAGTTGAATCTGTTTTCTCATGGTAAAAATCAATGTCATTCTGTATTAAATAGATCTGTCCCAATTTGACAATTTCAATTGAAACATAGAGAGAAACTGGGATCAAGACCTGCCAAAATAAAACATGGAGATTAAATAAAACCAAAGTCTTTGGCCAGTTACAAATATAAAGCAGCTCTACTGAAGACGAAGAGTTACTCAAGGGTATAAATGAGATCAGAATATGACCCATGTTCAAAGCAGACTAAAGTTACCTGTAATAAAATTATCATCGTCCAGAACATATAGAACCCTGCTAATATTGGAGGAACCGATTTCCCATCTGGCTTGGGGATGTTCATAAAAGGTATTTCCGAATACCTAGTTAACCAAATTCCATGGCCTTGAAAACAAGAACAAGATAAAGTGAGTCAGTTGTATGTAAACTGTATCACAGTTCAGGGTCGTTGTGGTACCTGTTACACTCTGCAGTCCTTTCTAGGCTTTTAAACTACCATTTTCTTTCTTATTTTTTTCTTCAACAGGAACCCAAATATCAATGCATAGAAGAAATACCTTACATGCATTTCTATCAACAGCACATCTATACAGCATATCTCAGAACTAAGGAAATAGTAACTACACTTCACAAACACTTCTTTTCCCCAAAAAACCCCCTCTGGCAATTAATTGCTATCCTTGCTTGTTCAGGTTTTAGTCTACCTGTGAACATGTCATCATTATTAAGTATAGTCTAAAGAAGTATTTTTAAACATATTTTAAACACCTTTATGATCTGTCAGAAAAGTTAGTATGTTTAGATACACTCAAGGTCACCATTTAATCAATCCCTAAAATATCAGATAATTACAACTCTAGTCACGCTAGGTCTCACCTCAATGTGTACATCACACATTATCTGAAAAATACCAAGAGAAAGTAGGAGTTCTGCAGAGCAGTAGTGAGAGAAAAGAGAAATCAACCAGAGAAACAGGTTCCAGACCTAAGAACTCACATCAGAAATATACTTCTTGACCACATCCCAGATTAAATATGACAACATGAAATAAAACCTGGCAGCATCCCCAATTTTTAGGGAATTACACATGGATAAAGACTGACAAAATGAATCAACTCCAAAATAAAACACTAAGCTGAAAGAGGAAAATAGTAGGAGTCTGGTGATTCTCACTTACCCATTGCTCCAGTTAAACACATCAAAATTAGAAGTAGAACACACCAAAGAATATCAGTGTTCACTTTTCTTTCCAATTTACTGCGCTTGTAATGAGGGCCGTTGTTATTCAGCATGGCTTTGGTTTCATGACCTGCAACCAAAAAACAGGTTGAAATTCTCTGATGACAGGTATCAGAACCACAAGTGCTTTATATTTCTAAAGCTCTGGGAAACAGAATATTTCTATTGACAAATATTTGAACAGTGATTATAAATACGAACAAATTAATTTCTTATACAATGCATGAATTTTGTTGTGAAGAAAACTGAACAAGCTAAATCAAAATCTGTCATGTGTACATTACCTTTTGTCACTAATGTTCCTTCCTATAGAAACAACCTCATTCTTGATCCCTCTATATTATTTCTAGTGTTTTCTACAAAATCCTACACCTCTGTTACAACTATCTGGCTGGATACATCATACTGATTAGTTTAAAAACCTCTGTCTTTGATGCAGAACACTGAAGAACAGCAGTAGCTTCAGTTTCAGATAAGAAAAAAATCCTAAGCAAGCCAAGCATTTCCACGTTCACTTCAAAACCTGGGTTTACCATTGCAACTAATAGTTAAGGACAAGGGCCTGTTCACACACAACAGGTCTGTTCTTCCAGTAATAATTAGGCATATCAGTTTTTTACATTGTTAAATCAGAAGCAAACTTCCCCCAGACATGAGTTCTTAACATTTCTAGCTACAGCTGCCTTTTGCTGGATTCAAGCTTTTACTCTTCCAATTCCACTTTGCACGATACTGTTTTTTAGGGCACATAACCATCTTGTGTGCAAGGCAATCTGTGAAAGCCAGGGTGGTTCACTAACCTGCATAAACCACTATGCCTACAACAGCTTCTGTGTTTCTTACTGTGCATCCTCGCAGGAGTAAGTTTTCCTTGCTGAGAGCCACTCGATCCTTGTTTGAATGCTCACTGTAAAAAAAAGCACATCACATCAGCTGTAGGACTCCAGCAGTTACAGTCAGGCTTTTCAAAACCACTGGGGAGTAGATTTCCCAAAGAAGCTGCTAGTCACTGACCCCCATTCTGACATTACTGATAGGACTTTTCAAAAGAATGGAGTAACATGCAAGCAGATCACCCTTGAAAATCCAAGTATGAAGGCACTGCATTACAATTTTCTTGTGTTTATAAGCCCAGAATTTGCCAGCTGTCATATGAGAAGTAGGCAACACTATTGAAAAGAGATCCAAGACAAACACTGGAAGTTTGAAACCCTATAACTTCTACTTGGATTACCAGTATCAGAAAAAATTTGGAGAAAATAGAAAATATGTTTAAAATTCCATTTTAAACATATTGAGAGCATCACCACTCCTGTGGTATACTTTCAGTGCAGGCAGGCCCACTGTAAAGGTGCTTCCTCAAACTAAGATTTATATATATTTATTTATCTTCTCAAATATCTAATGTGTCAGTATGCAAAGGGAAGAATATAGACATAACTCTCAAATCCTGAAAATCAGTTACCCCATAAAACAGCACTTTGTTTTCCTACTGTCTACAGAAAATCATAAACCTGTAAGAATCATAGAATGGCTGGGGTTGGAAGAGACCTTAGAGATCATCTAGTTCCTTAAGGTTCCTTCCAACTCTAACCCTGAAGAAAAACCCTAACCCTAATCATGAACTAAACCTGACAAAAAAACTACAGCTAGGCACACTGGTGAAAAGGAGTTTTATCAAGTGATTGATGGTTAAAGAAAACAAATCAGAGCAGGAAGGGAAGCCAGTCCTTTTGATTTCCAATTCTGAGCAATGCAGTTTTGCAATCAGGCCATGCTCCAGATCAAATACTGTAGAGGTCACACATTATGAAGGGTAGATTTGAAACAGCTATTTCAAGTATGAAATACACAACTGCAAAACAGCCTGAACTAAGATGTTAAAAATATTCAATAGAAAATAAAAAGCATCAGTTCACAATCTGCTGCTCAGAAAACCCCTCTGGAGCTCTATCTGTTGGGCTGCACTCAGAAAGGTAGTAGTGCAAACTGATTTCTATCTATATTGTTATTTTTTAAAGCAAACATTACAAACTCTCTGAAAATTAGTAAGAATGACAAAGCAAAAGACAGTAGTTTAAAGAGCCATCAAGCATACTTACACAAAGCCTCGGAATCGACTGAGGTTGTTGTTAGGACTTTCACACTCTATTCTACTGGAAAATTCCTCTGGATCAATTTCAGAGACCTAAAGCCACAGGAACAAAAAAAACCTCCAAAACCAGAACTCAGACAAAATGAGACAGAACTTAAAAACATCATAAACTCATAGGTTCAGATATTGCTATCTTTGAAACTGTAGGTTGTGGGTGGTGTTGATGGTCTCCTACCCTCCATAAATCACTTACAAATCATAGAACGACTTTCTAGTAAATATCAAGCCCTGACAAGTATCAGTTGCATTGCTGATATTCTGAGAGCACTGGAAAGGAGAAAATGGGTGGAAGAGTAAGGAAGAAGAAAACAACAAAATCAATAAGAACATCTAAAAGGAAGAGATTTCCCATAGGTTTTTTTCATTATATGGAAAATAAAAGAAAAAGAAGAGGCACTGTCTTCTCTGCAAGCAGTATTTCTTGCACACAGGCATTTTTTTCCTAGTACCACGACCAGGATGCTATTTGTGCTAACACAAAGAAAGCAGGTACAACTTTGTAATGATGTTTGAGACTTACGAGTACCAAAGAAAAGGCTGTTATGAAAGGCCAGAGGTACACGTTAATGAGAAAAGCCAAGCAAAACAAAATCCTGTATTAGTAAGAATGAAGCGTGACAAGATGTAAGAGAAAAGCCAAAAGGTCTTATTTTTGGAATTACCTGCTGTTGCAATTTAATTTCAGTTAATGGCATATGACTATGCCTCTAGTCTCCAGTATAACACAGGCTAGCCACGGGTATAACTGAGTCATTTCCAAACTGAGTACCTGCCACTAACTCTTTGGAAAGAACTCTTTGGAAGTTCTACTGTTTAGAAAAAACAAATACACAATTCAAAGTTTCAAACTCCCAGGTATAATTCTCTGATTCACAGGTGTTACTGAATACATCTGCATAATTACAGGTTTCTGAGAAGGCTGTACCCCCACAACCATGTGGTTTCACACTGGCAGAATAGCAACTGTGAGCTTAAAACACGACCCTGTAAGTAGAATTTGAAACTCAGAAGACATCATATTATTAGCAAGTACTTTGTTGGCTTGCTAAAAAAATTTTTACTATGTTTTTCTGTATTGATGTATTGCACTGTATTAACCTGAAGTTGATTAACTCTCATGGACAGCACATCATGCCTTTGTTATTACCAGACTCACTAAGTAACGGGACTTAGAGACAACTTCTCACTTCCTCACCACTGTTGAAAATTCAGAGGCAGTTCAGGTAATTTTAACTCCAGAGGACTAATCAGTCTGTTGTTATGGAGACAGCACTGAGTCTCCTCGCTATTGTTTTCAGCATGGTGTTTCAGCAGCAGAACTCAGTACCAAGTGTGCTGAAGACTGCAGAAATGACACGATTCTTTCATCTTTTGATATTGTCCCCTTCCTATTGTGCCAGTCTCCAACATTTTGACTGCTAGGTATAACATTAAAGTACTGTATGGAGTAACAATATATTTGAAATACAAAAAAACAGTGAAAGAGAAGATAATATCTGCTCTTCTTTTTAGGTCTTTATACAGCACAGAAGTCCCCTCTAAAAAACTCAAATTTCTCACCCACAGCATGCTATGCACCATACTTGACTTCTTGACATTTACCTGAATAGGTAATTTCACCGGCTTGCATTACTTCAAATAGATCTGTCTTTCTCAGGGTTAGGTGAACACATAAATATTTTTTCCAGTAACAAATTATAACTGTTACCAAATAACTTTGTTTTCAGATGCGGACTGCTGAGCTATCATGAATTAGGCAATGTAGAGGGCTCAGTTGATTGGGTTTTTTTAATTGACCATCTGTCTTGTCAACTTTCTTAGGTGACTAGAAACACACAACTATCACCTGCTCTGCATATCCTTTCACCACCTGTCTCTGCTTCAGATTGGTTTCTCCATCAAGGCCTGCTGTTTCAATGTAACAGATCCCATCCAGGTCACTGGAATATAACAGCACCATGTCAGCAGGAATGATTTCATTACGTGAAAGTCGGACGAAGTCTCCAACATTGACATTTTTCCAGCATTCATCTATGTATTTCTTCTCCTTCCTGAAATACACAGAAGAACAGTGACTTTTTACAAATGCATAATCTAATCTGAAAGTTCAGACAAACACACTGGAACTAGAAAATGTCTCAACTATTTATGCTTCCAACCATTAAAAATCTCTGATAGGATAGTGCATTCAGCTCAAGCTGAATATAATTACAAAGAATCAACTCTGGAGTCCAAGCCATTTTTCTGGGAATTACATTCAAGACACCCTCTGAGAATTATTTTAGCTCTATTTAAAATTCAACACACTTGCTTCCTATATATTCATCATTCCAAGAAAGGAAACAGTGTTTTCAGTATTTCTCTTTGGGCCTTCACTTTTTCTTGCAATTATGCAACAAGAACAGCCTATTCTCTTCCGATAAGGCCTTTCAAAAATGTCTGTCTCCCAAAATAACAAATATTTACCAGTAAGGAAAGAATATTCAGCAACAACTTCACTGATGCTCTGAATATAAATATTTGTATTTACAGAATTTTAAAGTATTTTTTTTTTGTTAATTTTTGAATGTAAGGTTCAAGGCCAGATTGGATGGGATTTTGAGCAAACTGGTCTAGTGGAAGGTGTCCCTGCCCATGGCAAGGAGGTAGAACTAGATGATCTCTAAGGTCCCTTCAACCATTCTATGATTCTGTGAAGGTAATACTCTGTAAGACTCTGTAATACTCAGTGAAGTCAATAAAAGCTCATGCTTGTCAGTATTGAGTTGAAATTCTTTATTAGTATGAAATATCCAGGCATGAAGTAAGTAAGTTTGAACCGTTTTCAACATTCCATTTATAGCTGCTGTTGTGTTCTCAGCTGAGATTAAGAATTTTCCTTTAATGTATAATCACAGCAGTTCATTGCAAACACAGTGAAGTTTAGACCGGTAAACAGGATGCAGGGTAAAAAGCAACAAAGAGTGCTTGAGGAGCTAGCCAGAGGCACACAGCAGCAGGCTAATGCAATGTGGGTGGATGAAACACACCTACAGTGACTGCTACAAGGACTGCACAGGTCTGGAGTAGGTTTTTGTAAAAACTATTACTGCCCTCAGTGACTGCTTTGTTTCCTGCCTTGCATGGACTAACCCAACAGCAATGTTTAAAGAGAGGAGTATGTACTCTCCACAGTCTTCATTTCTCAGTCATCCAGACTGGTGTATGGTTTGGGCTGCATTTTCTATTCAAACAGAAACAGACACTCCTAATGACAAAGAAAATATCAGAAAAACATTTCCTGTATTGAGCTTTGCACCCGTACTTTTCAGACCTGCATTATCTGATAGTATCCCTTAGAAAATACCTGTCTACAAACAGATGGCACAAGGCCCACACATTTAACCACTGTAATGATGACAGTTTCTCCACTGAAGATAAGGAGGTGTTTATATTGCTTTCAAAGTGCAAACAAAGCAAAACCAGGAAGCAATAAAAGCTGACAAAAATTAAAGTGATATAATGCACAACTGTTTTCTCCTTAAGATGCTCATCACTAGTCTTCTACGCAGATGGAACGCTGGCACAATGGAAAGCATGTAAAACTTAAAGCTACAGCCATGTCTATCAGAAGATGGATGGATTAAAAAAACTGCAGGAATCAACTTTTCATACATCTCTACTGAAATAAAGACAAGAAAAAAAAAAGGAGTTGAAGGAAAAAGTTCTAAAGTAAATTAACAAACTCCAAATTAATTATAGAGGCAAACAGAAAAAGGGTAGGAAGAACTGCTGAAACACAATATGACTCACTTACTGAAGGTAAGACTTAGGCTTTGATAGCTGCAAATCTGCTGACAAAGTAAATCTATTCAGGAGACAGAGATATGAAAACTAGTAATTTTTGTTTGTTTGTTTGCTTAGAACTACCCTTCAGGTATAGAAAAAACCTAAATCAGCATAACTTTCTGTGTAGGCCAATTTACCCCACTATGAAGGCCAAACGAGTCCAATTAGGGTGCAACACCAACTGGAGCAGAATGCCCTGGTCACTCCAAAACAGCAACCTTTTACCTCACCCTCCAAACAGGATGGAAAGGATTTGAGAACCCATGAGGACAGTGGAAGATTACTTCCTCAGCCAGCTTGCATCTAGAAGAGTTAGAGAAAGGGTGGAAACAGAAAGGTAAGCAAGACAAAATAAGATCATAAGCAAAGAAAGCAATGGCATCACTAATGCAGTAAGATAAAAATATCAGGGGAATAGTTGTCAATTTCTGTCCCTGACTTCTACAGAGATTTTTCAAAGTGAATTGGAACTTCCAAAACCATAGAAATATTTGGAAACTGTAGACCTTGTGACAAAGTAACCCTTTGATTTATTCTTGAAGAAATCATTTACAAGAGATTAAAAAAAGTACAAAATACCAGTACTCTCACATCCCTGTATTTTTTTCTAACTACTATGCATTTCACAAAAAAATACAAAAAACTATTTGTCCATGCTGCCAGTGTTGAGATTAGCCCACAGGTGATGGAAAATATTTCCTCTTTTAAATCACTACCTGTTCATTGAACATTAGACTGAAAACGTATGATGCTTCTTTTTACTTGATTGACTTGAATTAGTCCCACTTTCTTTATGCCAGACTGGAGTCTGGCAGAGGAAAGAAAAGCTAAAAGTAAGGAAGAATCTTGTAGAAAGGATTTTTCTTTACAGAGCTCAGTTCCACAAAGAAAAACTGATTATTAAATTATGTCTGGATTCCAAATATATACAATGATTTGCATAAACATGTATTTGTAAAGAACAGTAATTACAGCACATCTACTCGCAAGGCTTGCAATGAAAAAGAAATATACTTGAAGAGCTCTGCAGAAGAGGGAAGAAGAGAAGAAAAACATATCAGCCAGCAACATCATCTATCCTACTTCTGATGCAGCAGGTGGATCATGCACATATTCTCTATCCAGTTCAGCACAAAGTCTAACAAAAAAGTGTAGCTGCCTTTAGTGGTAGGTCAGCAGGGAACTAAATGGATTTTTCCATCATAGTCACCTCACCAATGTTCTACTAAAATGACATGAACTACACGATGTTAACAAATGCTCAAACAGAAATGCCTTTATACTTCATGATTCATAGCTATTTAAATGAGATCCTACTACTTTAGAATGATAACTTGCTCAAAATGCACAAGGACTTGATAACTATTTAACATCATAGCAACAATTATAAACTAAACTAAAATGCACATTAGCACATCTTACTGTTTATTGATGTTTTACTACTCCACAAGTGAAAAATGAGAAAGGGGAAAAAATTCTAAGCAATATTATCACATTTTCAACACAGAAATAAACTTTCCTAGAAAAATCTGCTTCAGGCTCTGTGTATTTAAGATCAAATACAATAAATCTGATCCATCACATGGATACAATCCACAGCTCTAAAATGTAGCAGGTTGAAAACTCTGAAACTATGGATGTTAGACATTTGCTATAAGCAAAAGCAATTAAGGAGTAGGGGGTGGTGTCAGGTTTGTCAAAAAACAGAGAAACTAGCATCTAGGTGCTCAGACAGACCTATCGAGGCACTGAGACTGTCATGTTTTGTCATGGAGAACAGAGCACAGTGAAACTGGGTTTTATTATGAAAACCCTTAGCTTTGTACACAAGCAAGCCTCACAAGAGTTCAAGATGCAAGGATCATCGGTCTTCCTGAAAATGCTTCATCACACAAATTATCCTCAGGTACAAAAAGCTGGCCTACCAGCTTTCAGGCATGACAACTATTGCTTAGTTATGTTGAGATAGCAAGAAGAGCTGCTATATTAGGCACACGGAAGCCATGTAGGTGTCAGTATCTAACGTGTAAGTAAAATCACAGACAGAACATACAATGTATACAACTTTTCCACATGAACAAATGCATAGCAAGAAAATGACTGGAAATTGTATTCAAAATTACCTAGCTGTTCATCACGTTTACAATTACTATGTTTGATAAAATGCATGCACTGGAACAGGGGATTCTTGTTAAAAAAGTTAAGAAATTCTGAATCCTAATGTGAGATGAATGGAAGTTTAAGATAAATCAGCTCATGTGTAGTGAGCAATAATTTTTTGTACCAGTAGCATTTAATTTTCCTGAACCATGCCTCTCAGCTTATTTTTAAAACCGGACTAGACTATATAAAATACTTCATGACAAAAACTAAGGAGAAAAAAAAGTTACAAAGCCAAAACATTTAGAAGCACAATAAGGAATTTTCACACAGGACTAATATGGCCACTGATTATTACACATTTTTGGTGAAGGGGGAAAAAAAATCAAGCCAGAACAGAAGATCAGAAATTAATTCTGTTTCATTAACATTGGTATGAGATTACGAGTAACACAGAATCTTCAGGAATATGAAGATTGAATACTTCAGCTTTCTGGCAATGAATTCTTTCAGGGTACATGACAATTCATAGCCAGAAATAATCCAGCTTCTCCCTTAAACCTTCTCTGCAGACATGAAAAAGAAAGAAAACACTTATCTTCCCTAATAGCCCAATTTCTTACTTGTTTTGAGCTCAAATTTTTATAGGTTGAATAGAATGTTTCCGGGAAAGCTGCTATATATATTTGTGTTTGCCAACAAAATCTGTTTGGTTTTGCTTTGTGGTATAATATGATAGTCCAGACTTTTATGGTTATGAGTTAGTTCTTAAACTACCCAAGAGAGTGTGGCAAATGCTAGAAAGCTGGAGATTCCATCTGCTAACTACCACATTACATTTAATAATTATATAGTACCAGACTGTAAATATGCTGCATGGACTAATTAAGGTTACCTCTAGAGTACAAAGTTTAGGGTTTGGCATAAACCTAAACTAGCACATTGAGATTTTAGAAAAGCTTATTTTCCCTGTATTGCCTTCACTAAGAAAAGGTGTGTCTCTAACGAAAAGAGGAAGATTTAAATGTGGTTTCGTACTACAGCAACTACAGTATGTTAAGTGTTGAACTCTCAATCGCTCCTCTCCAGCACCTCTCCAGGTGCTACTTGTGATGGCTACCACAACACATTAAAAGTGACATTTTCCAAAATACTTGTTTCCCTACATGGAAACAGCATGCAAGAAAGAAAAAGGGTTCACTATACTTCCTTTAGCTTTGTATTTTACATGCTCAGAATATCCTTTCATGACAGGTATAAAAGAAAAACAATTATGTGGGCAGCACCAACATACACTAAAAGAATTTTTTGCCAGTTAATTTAGAATATCATCAGTTTGCATTCCTATCTTTTTATTATCCCTGTATAATAACTGCCTATCAGCAAACCTCTTGCCACTAGCAGATTCCACTCCTGACTCGCACCCACAGTCTGCAATATTGCAGTCCTGCACGGTGAAACAGATGTTAACATTTGTACCAAACTGTGATGCACTCAAATAGAAAATTATCTCATTCTGCCTGGGCAAATGTTATTACATTGTAAGTACAATATGATACCATTAATGAGCGATAAACTAGCAGCCTCTGAATTTCCATGGTGCTTACAGCCATTTTAGAGGAACTAAAAATACACCTTTCAAAACAAATGCTATGTACAGCAATGCTTAACTAGTCAAAGTAGCTTGGTTAACACAGTACAAACTCATGCATGAACATGCCTCAAAGCAAAATTTTTTTCAGCAAATTTTACACTAATTTGATACCCATTTAGCAAAACTGGTGATTGAGACTCAACTAGACCCTGAGCGACCTGATCTAAATAGCCCTGCTTTGAGCAGGGGGTTAAGATCAGATGACCTCCAGAGACCTTTCTCAAATTATTTTATGATTCTATGAGTATTCAGAGAGTAAATCAAAAGAATTATCAACAACTTTTCACATAATAGTCATAATCAAATAACAGCAATATACCATATAGACAGTTGCCTCTTACCTGCTATATACTTTGGTTAGCAAGTTGTTTATCTGTTTATCCATTTTGTATCTTGAGTAATCTTCCAAACCATCCTTCACTGCAATAACTGTCAGAACCCCTACCAGAGGTAGCATTGTAATTTCTTTTTGGAAAGCTTCCACCAGAGGAACCCAATTTAGGACAACTAGAAATAGGAAATACAAATTGGCAACTCTGAAACAAAGAGAAAACACAGGAGTCAGCCGTACTAGCAGACAGTGATACTTATTTCCCCACTCCATGCTCTATAGACATTTAAGTTAACAGCAATTATCTTTTCTTCACCCCAACTGCAATTTAAGAATTAAGTATCCAGAACTCTGTTTTCACTCTCCACTCAACAGATTACTTAGCTGCACTGCTGCTTAATATACATGACCAGACAATGCAGAAAACAAGAATTTTCCTTTATTTTCAAAACTGTCCTCCAGGCACAAGTTTTCTAGTAAAGCACTGGCAAACTTCCACTCTATCAAATTTCCAGGTCTTTTAAACTTAATTTTATCATCTCTCAGGGGAGATGGCATGTCTTAAAAAGGAAGCCATCCTACAACCTCCCTGCATAACTTTACATATCAGCAGTCCTCCAAGCAGAAGGAAGATGAAAAAAAACTGGCAAGAGAGACAGACATGAAGGAAAGGGAAAAACACATTTACAGGAAATGAACTGAAAATCCTACTGCAGATTGGTGTGTGGCAGTGCTCCAAGAAGAAGAAATAGTTCAATAGTCCAAAGAACTGAATAAGTAGAAAGTACATAAGCTAAGAAGAAAAGGATTAGTCCAACACTGATATTTAAGACGCTTTGGCCAAATAACACATATCTTTTCAGAAATGATAAGCAGGTCAGGAGGAAGAATAATTTTTGAACAGAAAGCAACGCACACACATTGAAATAAAAAGACTCCACTTCAGAAGAACTACCACAATCAGAAAGGAGTTAATTACCTGTGAAATTGTTCAAATAAATTCCGTGGTAAAAAATTCAGTAAAGTATACTTAGTAGTCCGTATTTTGTTGTTCATGTATAGTTTTGATACTTTTTCATACTCTTCTTTAAAATGTCCCAAACAGGGTATCACTACCCTATGTTTGCCCGTAGTTTTTGATGATTGATGGTACTTGCTACTTGAATTGTTGCTGCTGCTTTCCCTGCCCTCTGCTGATATCAGTCGCTGCCAACGGTATCGGGCCCAGCGGATGGGATCTGCCATTGCACCTGGAAGGCTTTATAATCCAAGGAATGTCGTCTACCTAGAAATGTTTTAAAATACAGCAAGTTACATAACAATTCTATAAAGGCTTTTCTACTAAAAAGTCACGGTTACAGTTTTGAATAAGCCCAGAGAAAAAGTGATTTTCATATTTCGACTAAGGAAAACCAACCCAGACAGTTAATAGGTTATGTGAGGCCAGGAACTTCTGCTTCAAAGCTTGAATTTCATCTACTCTTTCAGGATCCTAGAGTTTGATTACTCTGTTTAAAATGCACAATTGCTTTTTAATAGCAGCCCGCCCACCAATTTCTCATGCTACAGTATTAAAAAAGCAGACAAGATGCTAATTCTGCAGGGAACAGCATTTTCAAAGGAATCCTCATCTCAGACACTGCAGTCCATACTGATGGTTAACAAACTTTATTAAACTCAGAATTCAACGATCTAGCAATATGAATCTGAGTACTGACACAAAGTGAGGAATTGCCAGTGAAAGGCACTAAGTAACTATCATGAACATTTCCAATTCCATTTTCTATGGAATTAGAAACAGGTTTGAAAATTTTTAACAACTGACAGAGGATGAATAAATTTCATGCAAATGCTTCTCCTCTATCCACCTAGCCAAGCTCTAGCATTCTACACAGGAATTTGTCTTCCTAAAGAAAGCTGAAGTTCATAGATGTAGGCAATACTCACTTTTTCAAATCACCTAATGCAGTCAGAAAAGGCCTCTTACACACACAAACCATGCTGGTTTTTACAATGAAGATTTTTACAATTTATGAACCTTTACACCTTAATGGTTGCTACATTTCTTGTACTATTTCTTCCATAGAACAGCTTACAGTACATTTGTTTAAAACTATAAATTGCTTGAGCCCTAAATCATCAGTACTTCTCACTGCAGATTGCTTTCCTTCCATCTGATATCTTACTAATTGCATACCTTCTAGCAAAATTTTTTACTAAATCCTCCTCCTAAGTTCCCACACAAAAGCTGCTTCTAAAACCTGCTGGATCTTTCTAAATGAAATCTTTTTACAACAGACCCTAGGCAGTCACCAGCTTAATCCTGATTTTGGCTTTAATCAGTTCAATTTTCTATTCATGTGGTATCTCTCTGCCATTGACAAATGCCACTGTCCTGCTCAAGATTCCTCCAAAAAGTTCCTTATAAAAGCAATTTTCCAAACTACTAATCCATTTTATCCAAACTATCTTCTCTTACATACTGTCCTTGATTTCTTCTTTTTCCTATTACAATTGTAGAAAGCTTGAAACACGAGCACAATGCCCTCAGTAGGTCCTCTAACAATGAGACAGTATTCATATCTCTACATCAACCTGTTCTATTCTTAAAAAGAAAATTCTCCAACATTCCTAAAGAGCTTGGTCCTCTGCACAACTACCCTTCAGGCTCCCTACTGTCTCTCTGGCCTCTTCCTCTCATGAAATAAGATGGCACATTTTTGTCCTATCACCATGAGATGTGGATAGTTATTGACTGTTACAATCTTAATGTCTCAGAGGATTGTTACCACGTACATTAAAATCACATTCCTGTTTAGAAACCATGATCTGCATACAGAGGAGAGAATAACAAACCTCTGTATAGCATCTCCTCTCAGCATTCCCTGGCAGTACCCTACTGTTCTTCCAAGGCCCTTCTGCAGTGCTCCCTCAGGCAGTGTAAGGGATCAGTCTGAGAAAAAGGCTTTCTGTTTTTCTCAGTCCTAAATCTTGTGGTCCCAGTAACCATCGGAATAACAAAGGTTGCATGGGAAGGAAGTTATGTCTGGGACTTCTCAGAGAAGAAAGAAGAAAGTCGTGAAAATTTTCCAAAACACATGGCATCCTCTTATTTGCACAGAACGCAGCATCTTCTACCTTTGCTTCCCCTAATCCTATTGCCTGGGAGACAGTTCCCAGAAGGACTGCACAGAGGTTACTGACCCATTTTAGTCAGGGTCAGTCTTTCCACCAGAAATGGAAACTCTGACATGTAGAAGCAGCTACTTCACACCAATTAACTACTTTTAATGCATGGCTACTATATAGTCATACATATGAACACTGATCTGTACACACGTGAAAGAGATGCTTCAATTCATTTACACTGAGCCTGAGAACAAGTCTGAAGCTTGAAAGGTAGCAAAGTCTTCAAAAATGTTTAGGTACTGTCGAACATGCTGCTGGTGGAGTCCATACATGGCTATGAAGAGTCTTCAATACACCTAGAGCTCTCAAAAACCAAATTAACACAGACCCACCTACGCTGAAGTCAGGACTGAAGCAAAGAACAAAGAACAAAGTATTGAAAATTAAAGACTTTAAAAAGATGACTTCCTAAAAAGAGGTACAAATGTTGGCAGTTCAGCTATTAAAAGAACCCCAAACATCTACATTTTGGATGACATTCTTAAGTCTTGGCCATTTTGAGAAAACACCACTTCTTCACAATCTCTGCTGTGACAACTCAGTAATTTCTGACAAACAGATCTTATGCAGTGAGGGACCTTTTCAAATAAATGTTCGTTTTAATTAACAATGTGCTGAATTATCAGGGAGAGTTTTAATATGATTTCTTCTATTAAATTTATCACTCTCTCAAGGTTCTGTCTTCAGCATGAATCATACAAGGTGTGTCAATTAACCACACTTTTGCTTGAAACAACTCTTTGCCCAGTAATCTGACATATCTCTACATATTGTTATAATGTGCAATGTCCTTGTAGAAAAATTAAATAAGTAAATGCTGCAAATTTTTTCAGGATGCCACAAGTGAGGTATTTGAGAGCAGGTTAGATTTGTAGTGAAAATCATGTTTGTCTTCATAAGATCAAGCAAACAAACATCTGATATTGATGAAGAAGCAGTAAAATGAACTCTTTCCAAAATTCCCAGGGCTAAAGGGAGTGCAGAAGTTTTAAATAGCAGATCCTGCTCATTCAGTGAAAATTATACAGGCTAAATAACCTATATAGCTAAAATACACCTGAAAAATTTCAAACCCTCCTAAATTCTAGGTCTTTTCAGTTTTCATAATTTATTATCTTTTTTAGTATTTGATACCCAGTGACCACTACTTAAAAAAAAAAGGGGGAGGGGGCACAGCAGAATGGAAGAGTACTGGACTTTTTAACATGACAGCATGTTAAGATGGAATTCCTCACTACTAGATCTGGAGCTAAAGGTTTAAACTGCATATGCAGTGTTGCAGAACAGCAGTCACCCCTCACCACATACACACCCTTGATCCCTGACACAGCTCCAAAACCTCTGCCCCACCCTTCCTCATCCTTATTCAGAGAAGCAGAGCTTAGAAAGGGACAGGAAGCATCACATTCCGTTGTGTGCACTGCATATTTCTGCCAGTATCCCCAGGATTTTAATGTAACAACTTTTAAGTAAACTTTGAAGATTGTATGGACCAGAAATAACTAACATGAACCTACCACACTGGAAGCATTGTATGAGAAACAACAAGTAATCTTCTATGATCAGAAAGGTGAATAAGACAATTAACCAACATCTTGGGAAAAAAGTATCTGGACCTCAGACTCTGCCACAATGCCCTCTGACTCACCTGGGATTTGACAGAGCTACTACCTGCAAATGATTTTTTTTTTCAATCATTTGCATCACCATTTTAAAATAGGATTTATGAGGTGTCAAACTTCAGAAATCTCTTTTGCTTTTTTTAACTATTTAGAGTAATTTTATTCTTCTTCCTCATTAAATTTGGTTCAGAAAGTAATGAACACCTTTTCTTTAGTCAAAAGGAGTTTCATCAACTTCATGTTAGATATTATCAAGGATTAAGTTGCCGAAGATCAAATAAATTGTTTTGAACAATTTTTCTAAGAAATCCCTTCCCTTAAAACATTACTTGACCCTCTTGTTATGCTATTTTTCATTTTAAATTCTTGAGTTCTCCAGCTAATGTGAATTAAAAGTAGTAATAAAAAATGGCAGATAATTCTTTAAACACTGGCAAATGACCCACAAGATGAATTACTCTGAAGAACTATTTTTAGAATTTTATTTTAAAAAAATGTTTATGTTTAAAAAACACAAGAATAACGTTCAACTATTTGAAAACAGGAAGCCTAAATGATCACATGCCAAGTTTTGAGGACAGTGTCATACAAGCTAGACCATCCTCATTTGCATACTATACACTCAAGTGAATACTACTTGATCTTGCTGAACGGCAAGAGATGATACAGAGGTAATTCAGGATGTCTTACACTCAAAAAGAAAAGTTTTTGTAGCAAGCTTACTAACGTCACATGATAATGATGAAATGTGGAAGGAATTATCTGACACTGGACATATTTGCTTTCTCTCTATACCAGTTCCCTCACGTACTCTGATTGCTTCCTCTTCATATCTGAGATATGAAAAACTGGAAGGACTAGATATGGTTAGCATGAAATAGCTGGCTGTCATATCTTTGTTAAAGCAAGGCACAGCAGTGTCATTTTTACCACAGGACAGATCAACACTATCAACACTACGTTTAACCATCCTATATCACAATAAAAACAGCCTTTGAGAACCCTCTGCTAGTGGTAATACTGAGAAAACCCCTTCTTTAAATGGTCTGTACCCTGAAAGAAGGGTCTTTAAAGCCCAGTATAAGCATTCTCTTGTGTGTGTATTTCATGTCCATAATTTGTTTTCTTTTCCAATTACTTGCCTTCCATTTTCTCTTATAAATTCTGTCAGCTTCCAGTTCTGCAAAATATCACCTGCATATCTGCATGCACAGCTTTGCTGCTAGCTTTCCTGCAGGGGGACTGAGCTGAGACAAAAAATTCCTTAATTCCAGTTACATTATCGGTAGCCTTTTTCAAATCACTGACCTCTCCCATTCTAGATCATTTCTTAATATTGTCAGCAAAACAAATGCGTAGATAATTTAGTCTATGTTTATGCTCTGGAACTGCACCTTACTATTATGTTGTGGTCATCTGCTCACATGTCACTTTAAGTGCCTTACCACTTACCTTGCCTTCTCCTGACCACTTCCTCCCTTCTGACAACATCCTTCTCTTTTGTTATGATCTCCAAATAGCTAGTCCTCGTTCTTCTTTCAGAAAATTCTTTGTTAAATACACTTAGCAAATGACACTTTTGACAAGAATGTTTCTCAAGCCATGTTTATGGTGTGTGTTTCTATTCTGTTCCTTCTCAGGCAATGTGCAATAGGCCTTCTGTGTCATCTGTGCTGATTTCCAGTAGGAAGTAATAAATCAATTCTTAGCAAACAGAAATGCAATCAATAAAATTGCACTATCTTACCTGAAAAATGTCTACAGCACCCAAAAGGGAAGCAATTCAGACAGCGCATCTCCCCAGCAACATCCCTTTTCTTTGCTCTCCATCTGAATATTTCAGGATGTTCTCCAGGTCTGAGGTTCTGGGTGGCCAGGGAAGATTAAAAATGCTGACCCAGATGCAGGTCACACTACACAATGCTATGGAAGAGTGGATCATCCCTGATCCACACAAAAGTCCCATTTAAACATCGTAGTAAATGTTACTGCGCAGGTTCATTAGCACTTGTGTCCCTACACTGACAGAACTATACAGGCTAAATGTTAAAACCTCCTTCTAATCATCTTTTAAAACTCAGAAGCTATTAGACAATGGAGAAACTTAAGGGAAGCAGGGCCTGAAGATTAACTTACACTCTGAAGAACAATTCATCTCTTCTCCTAAGGTTTGCTACTTTCTCCGTAACATGCGATTTCACAAATTTATCATGTGTCTTTGCAAGTCAACGTGAAATATGCAGAGACACTCTAATATGCCAAAGAGATCTGGATAAGACTTGTGCTGCCAATTCATGGGACAAGCAGCCAAAAACCTGCAGGAATCAAAACTTCAATTTTAAGAAAAATATGTGGCTACTTGCAACCACGTATTCTGAGTTATATTTATAAAGGGGATGCTAAGAACTCTTGAATTAAGAGTGGAAGGTAGACGCTATTATGAAAAGTGAATTGCTGTGGTACTATTTTGCCATGCACTCCTACCTACAAAGTCTAATTTAGTACGGGCAACACTGAAAACCTGCAAGCTTTGAAAGGCCTTGGATCTTGGAAAGGAAATTTCTTGGCTGTGAGTATGGTAAGCCAGCCATCGATAGCTGTTCACAACTAAAAAACAATCAGCAAGCTGCATAAAAACCCAGGAAGTGCCAAGGCCCTGACACAAGACAACTTAATAGTAAACCACACATGCAGTAGTATTGGTTCATGTGCTACAGTATGGGAGTAGTATAAAAAACCAAAAAAATCTCCTTCACCTTGGGTAAAATTATTTAGCATGCCAATCAGATCTTGTACCTACAGACACAACCAAACGATGCTCTAACAAATTTCAGATGAGCTATGTATTTCTGCTCTAGGTAATCAGTTCCAAAATAGAACTGAAGGCTGCTGAAGAGCGATCCTGTGTGCAAATATTAAACCTCCTTTTCTTCATTCACGAGAAAAGTTCTGCTTTACACCCTGTTCTCATGCACCACATTGGTTTCAAAATTGTAAACCAAAACCTTCCAGGTTAAGTGTCGCTCTTTTATGACCATCTTTCCACCCAAGTGTATCTTTAGCTTATGGTCACGCAGTATTTAATCACTACAAATGCTTTGGTATGTGTGAAATTCACATTAATGTCACAGTAAGACTAAGGTGTGGGCCATGTTAAAAATTTATACTGGTGTTCACATGACACCGAACGATGTGATTTTTTTTGTAGCAGTGTACACTCCCTATGTTATCATAAATAGTTCAAAAGGAAATGGATCCATACTGGCAGTATTGCTGTTTTTTAACTATGCTGATTTACTCAAAGGGCCCAAACTCTGTTGCGTAGATGAGGTCTAGGGTACTTATTGAAATTTATACTGAAAGTACCTGTTACAGCAAGAAACCGTACTTGAGTTCCTAAAATCCTAGATTAGGTCTCTGACTGGTTTTTCTTTTCTTCTGGTTTTCTAAGACACCTACACTGTCAGCTATTCAAGAGTTCCAGAAACTCCCAAGGCATCCACTGAGGTTTTCAGGTCTAGTACTCTAAGGTTAGTGAATTTTTGATAAAACCTACTCTTGTATAACCTCAGGAATACAATCAGGTATTTGTCACAGAGCAATAAAACCTGCTCACTGTTTGGGGATATTTTGAGAGGAATAACCTGTGAATCCACTGTAACCACTAGAGAGTTTCTGCAAGACAGCAAAACATGAATCTTGAGATGGTTTTTCAGGCCTGAAAGTGAGAAGTGACCTACAGCAATTCAGGGCTCAACTATAAACGTGTATCTTCAAAAGTTTTATTAATAAAAATGAAGCCAAAATATATAGAAACCTGAAAAAAATGCAAGGAGTTAAGAACACTCAAAGTCTGACCCTAGTAACCCCATAACTATTTAAGACACTATAGTATTAGCGCTGTGAGTAGCTGACCTGAGTTAAAAGTTAACATTGAATGGAACAGCTCTTGCTTCTACCTTCTGCTCCTATCCCTCCTTGATAATCGATCTGCTACTTACTGAACCTGGTTCTCACTGATCTGCAAGACCTTTTACTAACTCAAAGACAATAACATTACTGGATGTCCCAATCCATTGTTACAGCTGTGAAAGCACTTGTTGGCACAAGCAAAGTGGGACAGGAATGTCAGATTAGAGTGACTATCTTTGAGTTCTTATGTAGAGCACTTGGTCCTGATTTTAGCCTAGTTTTCATTAGAAATATGTATCAGCTCTGGCTATTGCCTTTGAAATTCAGATTATCCACAGCAGTGGCAAGTAACAGAAGAATGTGATCCTTGCCTGTCAGTTCTACCTTTTCCTCCTGTAAACCATAATGCCCACAGCCTAACTGTAAAGATTCAGTCTAAAACAATGGCTTCAGACTAGCTTTTGGGGTACACAAGAGTTAAGTGATTTAAATTCCACTCTGATTTTAGGTAAACCATTTAGTGCCTCTCTGCTGCAAACCACCATCTATGAAAACAGGAATAATGACAATTCACTTCTCTCTTGGTGATGACAGGAAGACAAATATGTTTTAAATAAGAGGTTTCTCAAAACTATGGTCATTGGTGAATACATGAATACCCTATACATATTGATTTAGTACTACAATAACAGTAATTTTGATATTAAAAGCACCTTTTTCTTCAGTAGCTGTATTTCTGACAAGAACTCTGATTTTTCTTTCCCATTTTCATGAATATTTTTTCATCACTAAGCCCAGTAACTATTATTGTGGTCCAATCCTGTGAGTGCCCTGTGCACTCTGCACCCCTGGGCACTTCCCAGAAGCTCTAGGAATTTCCCTCTGACTTACATGGGCTTAAGTCTACTTCTTTACCATAAATCTGTAAAGTACTAAAAAGCTTACACCTCAGTCACTACCACGAGCTATTAAAACAATGGCTTTTGTTTCTGGAGTCAAAGTCTTCAATACCTTTCTTTCTGGTCTGCTGCCAGAGCAGCTCAGTCGAGGAGATTAAAATACGCGGGGGTGGCTCGTGGCGCAGGGGCCATTTAAAGACATAAAGGCACAAATCGCCCTTGTACCCCGAGCCCCGCCGCCGCCGTGCTCCGCAGGGGCCGCTCCGGGCTCCTCAGCGCTGGCCCTGCAAAACGCCGCCCGGCTCGGCCAGAAGGGACCTCTCTCCCTTCGCCACCGCTGCTTCCACGTTTTCCCGCGCCAGCTCTCGGTCCAAGTGCCCAGCACCGGTGCTCCCCCACGGACCCGACCCCGCAACCGAGCTGCCCACCTGAACCCCCGCCGGGCTTACCGATGGCACCGCGCACATCCCAGCAGAATGGCCGCGCCCGGCGCTCCCGCTCTCCCGGCCCGCCTCCTCCCGCCCTCGCCTCTTCCCGGCTCTGCTCTTTCTCCCCCGGGGAGTGACTGAGGCGGGGCACCCTTCCCAAAGCGGCTCCTTAGTACGTCCTAGTGCTCCGCGAGAGGGTGGGGAGGCTTTGCTCGTTGCCGTAGGGTCCGTGGATGGCGCTTACCCATCCAGAGGTTAGTTATTGTTTTAAGGCTTTTTTTTTTCTTTTTCCCCTTGAGGCCTCAGCAGATAGAGGCTGTGGCAGGAGTGTGGCTGTGACAGAACCTGACGCTCCTGACAGCTTGTCAGGGAAATTGATGTTCTTAATCTTTTGCCATGACAGTCTGAAGGCAGCTTGGCCCATCTAAACATAAAGTTTTCTAGCCACTAGGCTAATCGAGGATAGCAAACACCCTCTTGTTTTCTAGGAAGTAAGCCTCTGGATACTGTCCAAATTGTCTTAAACAGATTACTGCCATCAGGAACCTCAGTGAGTTGTTTCATCAATAGTCCTTTTGAAGTCCCACACTGTCCTTTTTGCTCTTACTGTCTACCAGGGCACTCCTGAAAGCTGCCTCTTACAGTGAAATCACATGGCCTTTTACATGAAGAGAGAGGATTCCTGCTTCAGCACTGTGCAAGAAACCAACAGGAAAGGTTAATTGCGGATCCCTTGGTCCCTACTGAAATACACTGGGATTACCAGTACCTGTCCAGCGTCAACAATGAATTCCTAACACAGAGTTGGGAGGGCTGTGCTGAGCAGTGGTAGTTGGCTGTGCTCTCCTTCCCATGTGCATGGTGTTGTTTTCCTCTGTTGTCCTGCATTTTAGCAGGCCCCGCACCCCTGACCAGACACTGAAAACATTTTGGGTATGTTTCAGTGAACAGCAGCTGATGATCTGTTCTTTGAAGTGCTCATATGGCCAGCAGGAATTTCAAAACACATCGGTGCATCAGATGGAATAAAAACACATCTACATGAAGGAAGGCCATAAGTGCTGTCTTGAAATGCAGGTTTATTCTTCTTGGCAGGAAAAGATATAGAATTTTGTTTCCTTGCAGGATCCACCACCTTTGCTGGATCAGGTGCTGTAGGAAAGAGCAAGCAACTCTGAGGAGGGCAGAGCAAGCTGCTGCAAGACACAAGGTGATAGTAGGTGTGCTAAAACCACTTTATGTGGTTTAATTGGTTAACATTGATTTATTGGAACTTTCATCTTGCAGAGATGTTTGAGAAAGAAGAGAACATCACACAGCTCATAACAAAATAACCACCTCTACTGTCATCACATTGGAGCTGTAAATAATTCATATGCAGTCTCACATCTCCCATTCATATTTTTTCATGCATGTGAGTCTATTCTGTAAGCCTACAACTACAGAAAGCATTATTTTGTTTCCCTTGTTTGCCCAGCAGTAACAGTTGCCTCAATTAGGCCTGCACAACAGTGCAGTGCAAAAATACCCGATCAAACCATAAATGAGCTAGTTTGGCTGCCACAAAAAACACAGCTGCCTTATTGCAGCTAATTAGATGTGTTGAAGCAGAGCATATGAGCTGTTTGGAGAGGTACAACTGGTCAGGTGCATGAGAGGCATTGCTGTCTCTTGATTTGGCCATTTCATATAAATATTTTCACTTTTTTCCTTTCGTACAACTGTCCAGTAGTATGAATGGTCTTGATCCTAAGCATGCAAAGCAACCATCCAGAATGTCTGAAGTGTAATTAAAACTATCTTCTCCCAAGTATCCTATGGGAGAGTAACTACAAAGAACACAGTCACCAGAGGTAATGCTTCATTGAGAAATCTCACTGACAGCTTTTCTATGTGGAGGTAATAACACTGTCATCCACACAGATATATCCTTTTTTTTTTTCCAGAGAGGTCTGCAGGTGTCTTTTATATCACCTCCTGAACATCCATATGCCAAGGGGAAACTATGGGCATTGTGAGAGCTGTTGATGACTCCAGAGCAGTTTGAGAGCTCTTTGTGTACTTCAACTCCCCTATCTGTTCATGGCTGTGATAACTCTGCAAGTACAAGCATGAACTGTTCATCCTGCTGTGCTCATATTGGCACTGTTTGGGACACATGAAAGAGAGGAACTTACGTCACAGCAGCTGTCAACCTAACAGGTTGGCAGGCTGAAAACTTTCCCATGAAGGTCTGAAAGGAAGATGGAAATTTGTCATAGCATGCTATCAAATGTTTCCCAGAGCACCACAAGTTAATGAAATGCTAGGAACCTGGGTATGATTCTCCTATGGAGAATCATACCCAGTGATGATTCCAGTGCCAAATCCACATAAATAGCAGTGCCAGTGGGGATTTGAGTTTGTAGACATAGATGGTTATCGTTACTGCAGTATGGATGCTCCTGGATCAGCTTAGTAAGTACAAGGTGCATTCATATCAGGTCAGTGGATGTACCTGAGAGATTCGGTGTGTATTTACAGTGTAATAGTGACATACTATGATATGCACTCTAGTTTAAATATTGAAGATGTGGTAGCATATTAATAATAATTTATAGCCAGAAAGGGAATTGATTATTACCCAGTAATTTGTTTTTCATGTTTTTCCTCCTTAACTCTGCGGTAAACCCAAATAATTTAACTGTACCTGAGATTTTGCAAAAAAACCCTTGAATTTTAAATGACACTGAATTATTGTTTACCAGATCATTGGCTAAATTATGTGTTTAGAGTCCTAACCAATGTTGCCAGTGCAAATTAAAGCTGTCTGTTGTGCACATCACTAAGGTAATTTCTTACTACAAGATACTCCAAGGTCCTCAGATATATTTCCTGGCAGGACCCCTGTCAGGAAATCCTGACAGGAAACCCTGACAGGAGGACAGATAGACAATGAAGGAAACAGCTGTTTATTTGTTTAGGCTGTGTGTAGCTAAGACCTTTATTTACCATACACTGTCTAAATCTGTATTAGTTTAGTGATTTCATTATGAGGAGATTGGGTTTATCACTGGAGTGAGCATTTTATAAATAGTCATGAATTTTCCTTAGTTGCTTCCTGTGAGACAAGAAGGTATTACTACTTCCATGTTACAAATAAAAAGCTGAAACAAGGTAGAAAGTGTTTGTTAGTGATTCTGAAACTACATACTGAGTTTGAAAGATCTAACATTTGTTTTAATGTTTTTACAGTGGAAGATATGTTCTGTGTATATTATGTACATTTTGCAAATCTTGAGAGAGGTAGACTAGGTATGTAAATATTATTGTGGGAACTTTCCTGAAAGGCACCTTCAGGGTCATTAAATGCTTGTTATTGCAAACATGCCGTGTAATCTGGTTCATAGACCCACTGAGCTTTACCTTAAAAATAGTTAAGTATTTTGCTCACATTACTGTACTAGAAAACTATTCCAGAGTATGGCTGCTATAAGGGTTAAGAATTATCTTCCAGCTTCTAAACTCAAACTTATACCCATTAGCTGTTATATTAGCAGTGACCACCGTTTCCATTAAATAATTCTTTTTGTTCCTGGTGTTTATCAATCCATCTTTGTTTTGCTAAAGTAAACCAGATAAGAATGAATTATATCAAACTGAATGAAGGCTAACTAAATTTTGAATAAAAGTGTCCAGCCAAAGGTGTATAACAAATCCATTCAGAGTTTAGTTACAGTTGGATAAATTGCTGACACAGCTTGTGTAGAAAAGTTTTAAGGGAGTCACTGACTGAAATATTCACTCGTGCAATCCCCATGCTTTGCCTGTGGTTTATACCATTGTGTTTAGGCCACTGCAGAATGCCAGGAATCAGGAAGCTTGTGTTATATCCCAGTTTTGGAGGGCAGTTATTAGCAGTCAGTAGCGGTTGTTGTTTTTGGTGTAGGACTTCCTGATTACCACTCGCTGTGGTTTAGCCGTCATGTGTGTTAGGAACTTCCATCCTGAAAGTCACTAAAATGATGAGATTCTTTTCTTCTAGAGATTTTCATTCTGATGCTGTTCTGCAGAAAGTAATTATCAACTAGAATTCAAAAAGAAATCTGAAAGTCTTTCACTTTTAAGAGACTCCGAATTACCAGGACAAGCAGAAAATCATCTTAAATGAGACACTGTGGTCTTACTGCAGCTCCTAGTGCAGCAGGAATTTACTTCTTATCTTGTCATTTGTACTTTATTCACTAGAGAAGCTGAATTGGTAATCTATAGTGAGACTCCAGCTTCTAACAATCCTGGGTCACTACTCATGAACTAACATGAGAAGACACAAAAGTAACCCTAAAGAAAGGGAACACCATCTAAATCTGCTACTTCTGGACTGATGGGAAAGTGTGTATGGTTGGAAAGTAGTTCTAGCTAAGTGGAATTGCACGCACAGGAGCTTTGATGCACTTGGGTCAATTGCTTTATCCTTTCTTTTTCTGTTTATTTTGATGTGGCAATTTCCCATGGCTAATCTTCAACCTTATCTACAGCTGTAAACTTGTCATTAGCTTGTTTACACTGTTACAGATTCATTGTTCATCAAAACACTTTTGATATGCACTTATGTACTTATATGCCTTCCTTTTCATTGTATATGTAAGCAAGTTGATGTGTTGATTTTATTTGGTCCACAAAATAACCTTAATTGTACATCTTTTTATCAAACCACTCTATCAGCTAATGAAATGACCTGAGTCAGTGATATCAAATGAACTATTTAGTAAATATTGCCTTTTTTCTCTCTCTGCCTGTAGAAAGTTATTAACTGGGCTATAATATTTTTCATGGTTTTAGTTGGTTTTTTTTCCCCATTAACTTTTGTTTACAGCTTTTCTAACTCAAATACTGCAGGCTGCCAATCAAATTTTGTCAATATTCTAACATAGGTACTTATGTCACAATTACTGTATCCATTTCTTGAACAAATAAAAATAATCCAGCAGATAGATATGAAGATATCATTTAGACTTTTGATTCTCTCAGGTATTTTCCAAAAGGGAGAATTCAAGGCTGGTTTGCCATAAGATGGTTAATATAA